TTTGTGAAAAAATTTTTTACAAAATCGAAAGTCAGTCGAAAGATAAAACTAATCTAGTCTTGGATTCAAAATGCAATCTAATTGGTGTGAAAAATTGTACGATGGAATGGGAGAAGAGCTCGTTATATGTTTAGAAGACAGACAAATGAAATCACATAAATCTCTGCCCTACTTAAGCAAAGACATATTTGAACTGACCAGATAAGAAGAACTGGTTGTTGAATCAAGTAATGAGCATATTTAGAGCATAGATGAAGTGGATGGAACGTAAATTTATACTTAGTTTAAGTATGGAGGGATCCCGTGCTTCCAGTATGAATGAGGGAATGAGGATAGGTCAGAAATTAACAAAGGAAATGAATTGGTCTAATTGTATAAATACGTTTAATAAAAATATTAAGTTTTAAATTATATCAGCCTTGGTAGATTATATAGTGTTTACTGTTATGGTTTAGCCCATGGTGTACAGGATATAGTAGTATATAGCTGGCCATGAGTAAACAAATTTTTCGGTTTATCATTCTCAGGAAATTTACTAAATCGATCGGAGAAAAGCGATTGATATGACCTGAAAATATTGTACTGGACGATTTTTTTTTCGCCACACATGATTCTGCCCCAAAGTGGACCGGTTTTTGGAAAAGGCTACAGACAAACGAACAAACTGGCGTCGGTTAAATTTCGCGGGTATCTACCTTTTTTTTACGTTTCCTCATTTTATTCAGGTAAAATTCCAGCCGGTTGATCGAGTGATACTGAGTTACGAAGCTGTCCGCAAGGTAGTTTCAGTTAAATAACAATTGCTCATCAATCTTTGGTTTCATAGTCACCACGAAATTTCTAAAACCAAAATTGACCCTTCCGGACAGAGGTCATCTACCGTGCATATTTTGCGGACAGCTTTCAGTTTCTACTCCCATAAAGCAAAATAGAGCGAATTAGGACTAATCGATAATCATATTGCGTTTTTGCTCTTAATTAAAGACTAAATTAACTTTAATACATATTTTTAGGTTTAAAGAATAATGTTAAGCCTAGGAAAAGTCGCATTGCAATCAAATCAATAACAAAAACCCAAACAAACAATATTAAATGAAAAAAACTAAGTCCTTTTGGAAGACCTGGTGCAATTGAAGTTTAATCCAATTTTAAAGAAGGGACTACGTTTATGGAAGTTTTCCGTTAACGAGTGACCATTGTTGAGCTTGTGCAGTTGTCAACGACTATATCATTTTTTTTAAATATCAGTTTAAATGGCTAAATTTTTATTAGCCATTCTTGATTCAGATTGATCAAACATAGAACCACAGCGTATCATTTGGCGAGCCTTCACATCGTCGATTGGTGCATTTTGCTTTCAATGTATGCCATGCATGACACCACATTTGGCAAAGTTTTCTTGAGCGTGACTAGAAAATTCCATTGTCTTTTTTTAGCCATAATTTTATTTGCAGTCAATTTGGTCTGCGCATCGTCGCTCTTTTAATCTGTGCTACTCCAACCTACTGATGATATCGAAACGAACAAGCTACAGGTTCATCACCCAAGCATGTCTCAAAAGGGCTTGCAATTTATTTTTATTGTTTTTTTTTTCTTTCTAAATGCGTGTCCGGTTTCACGAACGTGACCTATCTCTCAAATTCTTCGTCGGCTCGTTTCTTTTGGTTCGTGTTTGCAAAGACGACTGTTACAGCCCGCCCTCAGGACTGATCAGTGATCGTAACTTGCTCACGACACGTGATCAATCCCTCCCGGCCCCCTTGCCCATGGCCCGTTTACATTGTCGCATCGAACAGGCTGCATCAGAGGTGCCAACATTCCACGATTTATTTCCCGAACATCGTTTTATCCCGGTGATCATTGATAGTCAATATTACAGATTTCGTCGACATTTATTTTAAGGCTAACGTTTAATTTTCGATGAAATTCTCTTTCTATTACCGTGTTCTGAATGTTTAAATTTCATCTTATAAATACTTCAATCACCAACGATTTTTATTTATATTGTACTCCACCTTTATTGTCATTAATTACAAGGGTAAAAATTTGTTTGCTCTTAGTTTTAATTTTTTGTTGTTGTGAGGATACTATTGTCAGGCCCTCGGTGTGTAGGATTGGAGGGAAGTATGAATCTATAGGACAACACACAGTGTATGTGTAATGTAAAACTTCAAAACTTTTCCTATGACATTCCAATGCACTTCTTGCAGCTTCATACAATTTTTTCTCATTCCATTCTTCTCTATAGTTCAAACGAATGTAAAACCATTCTATCAAAATCTTCTTTTTTTCTATTATTAATATTCAAAATATTTTTGATTTTGTCCTTTATTAAACAATTCTGTTATATTGTTAATTAATCGGATTTTTTCTGATGCTAGGCTTCTTTTTAAGTTATTTCATAATTTCGAATATTTTCCCATAAAATTCCTGTTCCTTCTGTTGCTTCAGATTTTATTCCGATTCTTTTCAAACCTTTTCATCAATATATTTTAATTTTAAATTTTTTAATTACTGTTAAATGATATTATTTTTCTAGGTTAGTCTTCTATTTTACATTTTGTCACAATTTCAAATATTTAACAAAAAAATTCCTACGTTTCTACTGCTGCTTCATATGATTTTTTTTTCTGAATTTGTTCTTCTTGTGTAGTACCAAAGAATGCCAAACCTTTCCACAAAAATCTTATTTCTATCACTGCTAATTTATCTGACTTTCTGTGCTTCTTCTTTTTACATTATTCATCATATTTTCAATTGTTTTCCAATAAAATTTCTATGCTCCTACTGGTACTTCATCTCATTTTTTCCGATCCCATTTTTCTTCTTGTGTGCCTTAAAAAACGTAAAACAGCCATCAGAATATGTTTTCCAATTATTGCTATTTATCTGATTTTTCAATGACAGTTTCTTTTCATGTTGTTCGTCATATTTTCAAATTCAAGACAACACTCACACAAAATCAATATAACACCACACTTTATGCCCTGAAGATGATCCGAATAAAGGTTGAAACAGCATGAAAAAGGTGTTTTTTACTACCTCATCCTTAACTTAAACAGATAATACAACAGATCCTCACTACTTAAACAGATAATTTCAAATCTTTTCCATTCTTCTTCTTGGGTAGCCTAAAAGGATATAAAACTGTTTCATCAGTCTTTTTTCTATTAGTGCAAATTTATCTGATTTTTTGTCTATAAATGATTTTGTTCCAGAAAATTCATCAACACTCCTGCTTTTTTCTTTCTTACTTTTTGTGCATTTGGTTCTTCAGTCTTTCTAACGTTAATGTTACTCGATACTTAAAATGCTCATAATTATTTGTGCTTCGTTCATTTTTTCACTTCACTAGTAAATGCTTTTAAAAAAACGTTCCTGTTCAGCATGCGATAAATTTGATTAATTATTAATCATACTTCTAGGAAATGGAGGAACTGAAAAAATAGTGAAGGGGAGAACACATTTCAACGATTACAATGTACAGAATTTATAGGTCAGAAAGGTGGTGGGATGATAGTACAGTTTGACCATAGAAGAACCACAAATTGCCTCAGTCAAATCACAATAATTGATTCAATTGTATTTTACCGATGGTATTTTAATTGTAGACATCTATTCTGTTGTAAGTGGGCTAAGAAGGAAAAAGATAAACTGTCTTTTCAGGAAAAAAGGACTTATCTATTGAAATAACTTTATATCAAATTAATAGTCTTATCTATGTTTGAGATAGTTTAAATACTATTTATAGAGGTTCGATTTTCTCAGCAGTGGAAAACGTAAAAGTAATTGGTTGTTGTTTTATTGCCATGCATTTCATAAAATTGCGATGATTCAATTTAATTATATATGATTTAATGCTAAAGATCATATTATTAATGTTATCCAAATCCAACAAAAGGAACAGTGTTGTACCATAGCTCATTTGTGCTTCCAGTGTCTTAATTTTTCCTTCAGTTGCTTGGTGACAAAAAGATAGTTAACCTTTCGGAATTTGCTTAAATATTCAAACCTCCTGATGCTACTGACACTTTTCCTTTTCTATGCGACCATTGCAAAAATGTACCATTTAGCTGATAGGACTGAATGAACTGAATTCTTGCAGCTCAGACAAAATAGTTTTGGTTTTCTGAAGAAAAATTAATGCAGTTAATTGAGTTAAACATTCTGTCACATCACATAAAGAAAACTGATATATAAACTGAGGGGGCATGGTGCCCTTAAGTCTTTCTTATTTAATTTTATTATATATCTAAAAATGCCTTGAATCCATGATTCTTAGTGAAAAGAATTTACAGCTATTATCAGTCAAGATTCCAAGGCATTCTGCAATGGATCATGCTTGCTTCCTTAAGTGTGATATTTAGAACAGGTAGATACATGCGCATACGGCCATAGATACATAGCCAGAAAACGCTGACCTAAATAAATATGATGTGATCTGGAAATTTATTTACTACAAAAATGTGACATTACCATGTTCCCTCAATATTTACCTGAGGAATAAGGTTCCATATCAGATTATGATCCATGTTCTCAAGGATTTTTTTTCTTCAAAATAATGAAGGCCCTTATGGAATTTTATCTCTGGTTTGCAGTGAACAATGCTGACAGTGTGCAGTATGATATTACTGTTGAATCTCTTAATTTAGCTTTGATGATCTTGCAGAAGTCCAAGTGGTTATGTAGTTGATGCTTTTGTAGTTAAATTCCTATGGCTTATAAGAAGATTAAATTTAACTCAAAATACAACAGATTTCAACTGAACATATTACTCCTAGTATCTACTAAACTATGTTTTGGACTAATTCAGCAAAGTTGTAAATCATTTCCTTTTCTGAAAAACTATTGTGTACTTTTCACTAACACTAGCAAACTACTTTGTGAAATTTTTATGAAACTGTTTTTCTCAGGTTATACATTCAAAGAGGAAATCCTTTTTATCAGCCAACGATATTTGTGTAAATTGTTGCTAAAGTATAATTATTTTTCTGTTTCAGACAGTGAGCAAGGGTCATGGGAAAGCGGTTTATCTTATGAATGCAGGTCACTACTGTTCAAAGCATTGCACAACTTAATTGAAAGGTACATTTTTGAAACTAAATAATGCAAATTAAATGTGAGTTTAAAATCTGATGTTAAAATATTTTCTTTGCTAGGTGTTTATTATCAAGAGACTTCATAAGGCTTGGTAAATGGTACGTCCAGCCGTATGATAGCTCAGAGAAGTTGATAGAAAAGAGTGGTCATCTTTCATTTTCATTTGACTTTTTCGTACATGGAGAAAGTTCAGTGTGTGCAAGTGTCGATGTCAGACAGCATCCCGCCGTAAGGACATTGTTAAGCAGCCATCTGCACCAGGCCCAGAGTGGACTTCATTCCTCTCCCCCAGTTCATGGTAAATGAAAAACCTTAATTTATTCTTGGCAAACTCTTCCGATGAATCATTTTTTTTAATGTGAAGTGTTTTTCTTAGTCATCCTGGCACCTTTCGGTTTGGCCGGTACACTAACAGGTCAGAGCTTCAGGTCTGTCGATCGCCAAACACAAAGGCTTTTGGAAGGATGGAAACAATTCTACCCCATCGACAAGAGCATTGCTGAAAACAGTGATTTACCCCCTGCTGTGGAAGTTATAGTGGGTTAGTAATAATAATAATAATAATTGCCAACTTTTAGAACATTTTAATGCATTAAAAAAAAGGAAGCTTCATAAGCATTTATAAATATATTTACTGACTGTAAAAACTTTAACATTTAATTAATTGACATTAAAAAGAGAGTAAGTGATTCATATTCCATGTTCCATTGGTCACAAAAAAGGCTCTAAAAATAAACTGTGTAATATATTTTTCTTCAAAGTAATTGCCCCCCTATATATTTATGTGCTGTAAGAAGAAGAAAAAAAAATGTTATCATCAATTTTTGTGGATTTAGGAGGTATGAAGATGAGGTACCCATCAGCTTATGTCTTGATAACTGACTTGGATGAGAGTACTTCAAATTTATTTAACAACCAGCTTACAAATACTTCTTGGCCGTTACCACCTTTGAGAGGTATTTATTCTTTACTTGATACTTAATATCGTTGTTATGTTTAAACTTATGATTCTGCTTTTGCAATGTAGGTGTACATAGAGCAGGACACTTAGCTGAGAGAATATGGCAAGAGTCTTGTATCGTTCCTTCTTCAACAAATCTAAATAGCACCATCATTGGTAACTCTGGTAATAAAGTCAACCACAACAATGGCATCACTGTGAACAATGCAAATAATAACAGCAACATCAGTAATAACAGCAGCAGTGACAGCAATCCAAGTGTCATCAACAACACCAACAGCAACACACCAAATACTCTCACTAGCACTAACATTAATACTAATAACAATGGAATCAACAATACAAACAATACTGCAAATGCCAATAATACTCCTGGTGCAATGGGTGTGACTACAGGCACTACTTCCAATACCAGTGGAGCCACATCGTCCAATTCTACCGGAAGTAATACCAACGGAAGCAATAATAATACTATTGTACCCCTTGCCACCCCTGGTCAGTGGCATTTTGTTGATCCTACTCGAAAGCAAAGCTGCACCTGTTCTTGCAAGTGAGTTGTTCTTAATGTTTTTTTCTGATTTATAAGTGTAGTAAATTTTAAATTGACAACCCATAATTATTGCTTAATTTTCTTTTTTCTTTTGTTTTTAATATTTATTGTTTGCATGGATTATTTACCTTTTCTTAAAAGAAATTTAAACATAGAAGTCGCTATATAATTGGCTGTTGAATGTCAAAATTTAGTTTATTTTCAATTATGGACCTGAAGCATATTATATATCTTTTAGATTTAAATCTGTGTTAGCTGTAGAGTTGTAGTTTAGCTTGTTATTATTTTATGTGAACTTCTTTAAAGTAGTTTCAAATTATGATTGGGCTTATTTTGGTTCAATCTTATGAACAAAGAGTACAATTTTATGCTTGAATAATCGTATGTATATTAAGTAATTTAATTACTTGATTTACATATTATTACTCAACGTTTTACAGAATTTTGTCCACTATTGCTTGTGATAACTAGACCAGAAACCGATCCATTCTCATTTCCTACTTCTTCACATTTTTTAAATTAATACTTATTAATTTACATTATTTTCTTTAATATGTTATTTTTTTTTATTAAAGATTGTTGTAATTAATAGGTGTATAATTTTTTCTTACTTCTTTTAAGTTTGAAATAAAATCAAGTTCCGTTAATTTATAAAACATATATTAATTAATGCTTTAAATCAAAGTGTCCTATTGAATAAATAACAAAAAATTGTCTAGAGATTTTATTGATGGTTTCTTGTTTAGTGGAAAACAAATTTAAAACAAAGTATTATATATATAGTTTGTTCTCAAAATCACGAGCAACAGTGTATTTAGTTAATAAACAAATGTATATAACAATGGGTGGTACAAGGGAGTATGTGTGTCAGGAGGAGCAAAGTTCGTGTGGTTGGAGGAGGGGTGGCCGCTTTCCACAGGCGGACCACCACACAACCTTCCACACAGCGCCTTGGCCAAAGGTAATATATCATATGTTTAAAAAAAATTAAAATAAAAATCAGATGTCAGAAAATAACATTACACGCACAAAGCATGAAACACTGCTTTTAACCTATCATCCGGTGAAAAGAACACCTGAACATAAATACTCCCAAGCAGTGAAATAATAAATATGTACTCATCTCATAATTCGATTGCATGTTTTTTATTTATTTTTTTATTTTTATTTATGCATGTGCTTATCTTTCTTTAGAAATTTCTTCAACTTCTATAACGTTATTATTAGCTATTATTAGACAATAGGAGTTTTTGCTATTAAGAAAAGGAATTGTGGTTATTGGCAATAGTTTTAATGGTGTTGCACAAATATGCATGATATACATATAATAGCTCTAGTTTGGTAATAAGTTCTATACTTTATACCATAATAAATAATATCCCGATAATTTTGTAAAATCGAAAAACATGACCATTATGTTCTGAAATAAGTTAATAATTAAATTTCTGGTGATATGCTTACCGTGAAATTTTGTCAAAGATTTGTCACATAGAATCATTATTTCAATATTGAGCATAAAGATAATATGACAAAAATTATGTCCAGATTTTATATACTTAATATGTTTTTATTTTTTTTTAAATATTTTAATTAAATTCCATTTATACATGAGCATTTGAATACTATCCTAATGATAGAAAAAAATATTATTATTAATTATTATTTAGAGATTATGAGATGTGGTCTGGTGAGATGTAGGTTTGGAAAAATATTTTCTTTATCGTGCCAATGTTTTGATTTTATTGAGATCATCTTCAGGGCTCAAAGTGTGTTTTCTGTGTAGATCTGTCACTGTTGTGTGTTGTGTTGGTACGACACACAACAATGATACATCTACAGAATGATTGCATCTCACAATCTCTAAATAATCATTAATTAACTGCCACTAAGTACTGCAAACTTATTTTGTCTTTTAATCCCTTTTGTACTTCAACTTTTGTTTTATCCCAGAATATATTAAATTCCTGAATCTTGTTTATTTTAGATTACTTCAGTGAAATATACTCATCCAGATGCTTGATGAATGAAATATTGTCTGTTATACAGAATTGTACGATTTTGGTGTAAAGCAAAAAAAGATGTTTAGTATTACAAGATGGGCCACAATGGGGATTACAGACACATTATTATTTTATTGTTATTATTTCATTTTTTATTTATTTATTTATTCATTTTTTTAACAAGGATATTTCAACTGTGAGGTTTATGACCCTCAGAGTGCCGGTGTTTTTGAAAAAAAAGTTTGTATGTCGGATTCAAATGCAGGGCCGCTGGATTCGAACCTTGGACCTTACAGTGATGAGCACCATTTCAACCCTAAACCCTTGTGGCCACTAATACCCCGAAATCTTGAAATCTTGGGAAAATGTGTGGTGATTAGTGACCGTTAATCGATAATTATTCAGAAATCGTGAGATGCGGTCTGGTGTGATGTAGGTTTCAGAAAAAAATTTTCTTTATCGTGCCAACGTTTCGATCTTTATCATCTTCAGGGCCTGGGATTTACAAACATTGTTTACATTTAACAAATACATTTAGGATGTGGAAAAATGAATTTAAACAATGCAAAATATATTTTTTATATTCAATCAAAGTATTTCTACTCACTCAAAGTGTTTGACTTCTATGTAATTGTGCAATTCTTGCGTGTCGTGTTAAGAGTGCCAGTAAGATTGACTGACTGAATGACTCACAACACGACACGCAAGAATGGCACAATTGTGTGCTTTATAGATTTTAATGGGAAGACACCAGATCAGAAATAAGAATTTGTTAGTTCAAGAGACACGTCCGTTATGGGAAGTTTCATTGTATTACCATTTCTTGCAATGATTTCAGTTATTTTTCCCCCAGTATTTATGTTTATTTGCATGTCTAGTGTTCATGTTTTGAGTTCTCATGGAAAATATAAATTTATCTTTGCAGCTTAATGTTTGGACGTAAATTTAATTTTGATCAATCTCATGAACTTATCAAATCTTAAGAAGTACATAAATCTCTTACTTTTTGAAAATAAAGCTAAAAATTGCCAACTATTAACATTGGCATAATGCAAGTGCGTCATCTCACCGCTAGTACTGCATGCCTGAAAATATTTTAATATGCCCTTCAAGGAGAAAATGGTCCTCAATTGGAAAATCGTTTTCTGTACATTCGTAGAAAGCTTTGGGACTTCTTAAGCTGATGGTGTCTGCTTTTTTAACATTATTACAATAAGTTGTGAGATTTTTTATTTACCTCTACACAGTGATTAACATGCAATTTGGTCATTTCCAATAATCCTGGTCCGTCTACTCTTGCTGCTATAGTCTATCGTACACATTCGTCATTGTCCCTAAACGATATGATTCTCCAAAGTTTGTAATAGAACAATGATAATTAACTCTTCACAAATATATAAAAGAAATCACAGAATTTGATAAAATGTGGAAACCAAAACAGCAAGGGTAATCAGACCAGGATGATTGGAAACGACCAAATGACAGTTACTGTTTCGATTAATATTTTAGGAAGTAACTCTTGGAATTTGAAATTATAATTAATATTTTTTGGGTTTACAATTATTTGAATTAAAATACTAGAATAAAGTTCTTGGATAGAATTCAATAATTTTTAGAAAATAATAAAAGCGTGTGTATCTTAAATTTGATAGTTTGGAGATTTTGGTTTACCATTGTCCACTTCATGCTTGTTTAGGCTATATAACATTTATTTTAATTTTATTGTCATTTGGAACTATTATAAATAGTCAAATTAATGTAAGCACATAAGAACTGTTGGTATATTTAGCTTTGGTGAGTTTTTGCCACATCCTTGTAGAATTTTATTTAAATAGTCATTTCTTTAGTTTTATCATAAAATTAATATTATAAGGTCATGTTTTTCTGATATATATTAATACTCCATTTATTAAATTCCGATGGTTTATTAATTTTAAAGCATTACTAATATTATTGTCTATTTGCTTCCTCCCCCTCTGTTTTTATGAAATCAGGCTGAACTGCCCCAGCTCAGGTCAAACCGACTCAATTCCAATCGCATCAGTTGGATCTCCTACTTCAGCTGCAGCATCTCCTTCAATGACGAGCGTTCCTCCTCCCGATCCAACAATGCCCACATTGTCCCCTCAGCCCCCAGCATCACACCAAAGTCCCCTTGATGATAAGGTAGTCACAACACCGACAGATTTCAGCGCACCAAAATCAGTTTCATCCATTTCTAATCAGGTCAGTCGCCGTGACTCTAAAAATATAGTTCACAATTTGTAAGTATTTTCTTAATTTATTTTACAAATTTGAAGGTATTGTCACCGTATGGTGAGGTTGCAAAATGTGAGCAGATCAAAACTCCAGCAGGCAGAACTCCTTCAGGGCCTTCTTGCACAGCCCCCACACCTCCTCCCATGCCACCTGCTCAAATTTTGAAAAGACCTGTACTTAATTCTTCAGAGTATGAAGAATCTCTCCTCCAGGAGCATTCTCCTTCACACTTACTCTATGATTACTCAACTTTAGAGGCCTGGTAAGAAAAACTTTTTGTGCAGTAACCATTTTCTAACAATCTAATCTCTAATCATCTTTCCTTTATAGGTTGAATCACCCTGTTAAAAGGTTTAAACCAGCAGTGCCCAATAGTCACACGGTACAAACACTTCAACAGGTTTTCAAACAAGAACCAGCTCCTACTCCAGTATGTACAATTTTGTAAGAAGCTAAGTTTTATTTGACATTTCTGTACATCATATTATATGTGCTACAGATGGAGACGGATGCTGTTGGATATGGTCCACGGCCTGGTGATCCATATGAATTTGATGAAGAAGGTATGGGCGTTCGAGTTGATACTTTCAAGAGAGCACCAAATATCAAGGTAAATTATGAAAACAGAGTTTTTTCAATATTTCAAGGGTATTTATGGATGTCGAATCTGTTATATATTAGACTGTCACAAAAGTCTTGTGCATAAAAATTTTCATAGTTGTATATCCATGTGTGACACTTTGTTTATTCAAGTATGAACCATTGCACTGCCACAAATTTTACTTTTCAATGATATAAGTATCAACCACTTTTTCAATCACAAACACTCTGGATCAAGGTATGTTCATAAAGAAAAACTCAGTTGTTACTGCCAAGCTTTCGATTTTTTTTAAGGTCATCATCAGGGAAAAATGATCAATACTTAACAGTCCTTGCCAATGTTAGGGCAGTGTAGGTCTTAAGGGAATTTGAGATCTCCTGAAAAAAAAATTGAATATGTAATTCTGTATACATATTTAAGATTGTTTTGCCCTTATGATGACATTAAATAGGTCAAAAGCTTGGCAGAAACAACTGAATTTGTTTTGTTTTTTCTTCAAGATTCCTTGATCCAGAGTGTCCATTGACAAATTTTACTTATTACTATGAGAATATTTTAAAGAAAACTTTGTGCTTCAGCCTTCTAAGATGACTGTACAGTAAAAAATGACATAGTGTGAAAGTGGCATGAATGTTTTTTGTGCTACCACCATTTTAGAAAACTTGGCGTGTAAGCCAGATTTGCAATCTAAAATATTTGAATGTGATCCCTACATATTTACAAATTTTGTTATTTTTAAAAACACCACACCAAGGGTTGATAGGGCGCTGCTGTGATACCCTGTAATAAAAACTATATCTATCTCCGAATCTAATAGTTTGCTGATTTTGTTGATTGAATCATTCCACTATAAGTGATGAAAAAGTTAAGGTTTCTAAAAAAATTGTCAACTGGATATCTCTGTTGCTGATCAGTTCAGAAAAATGTTCATTTTTTGTACTATTGTGAATTTGTGTTTTGAATTTTAAGCTTTAAATGTTAAGATACAACTATTCTGTTTTGATCAGCCAAAATATTGGTCAATGAGACATATTTTTAAAGGATGGCACTTTGAAAATTACAAGAATTACAAAAGTTGGATACAAATGTTGGCATCTAAACAATAGGCATTACTAATTTTTGAGTGTTTATTTGTAGGAGAAAAAAAAATTCATGTGTTTTATATTATTTGTTTAATAAATTGTTTTTATGCTCAAGAACATTAATAGTAACTTAATTCTTGCAAATCGTTGTTATGGATTCTGGGAGGGAGGAATTAACATGTACTTTGTTCATCGTCAATTGCTTATCACTGATCAGACCTGGTGGTCTCTGATTAAGCTAGAACCCAATCAAATGTTGAAATATATTTGTATAAAAAAGAAAATATATAACCTTGTTTTTATACTCATAGAAAATTGTGAAGCTTGTTGGTTGGTCTGCGAGTTTTAGAAAATATGAAAAGATTCAAATGAAGAAGTTAATTTTGTAGTTAAGAATAACGTAGTGTGAAATGTTAATAAAAACAATTTATGATTTATTTTTATTGCCTTATTAGGAAGAAGAAAAAACCTTGATGAATGGCACCTCCCAAGGGAAAATAGGCACAAATTTGTTTACAAGTGAAGGCCTTCAAGTTTCTTGTAATGACCTCGATAGGCTTTTTGACCAGTCTGATGATAATTCTGGAGATGAATCTGTAAGTAACATTTATCTTATTTGAATTGGATATATTTATGTGTTGACATTGGATTTGAATTTGTATAATTTGCAGATGCAGGTTACTCCTCCAAGCTCAAATAAACCACCAGAAGATTGTGGTATGACAACTATAGTGAGACAAACATGTCCGACATCAGGAATTCTCAGACCAGAGGAACTGGTGAAAATGTTTCCAACACCCCCTTCTTTAGAGCACAATCCAGTTGCTTCCCCAATCGCCGGTCTTGTTGGTGATGTGGTTCCAGATATAACACATTCTCAACCTCCGGCTCTTCTCGGAAGCCCTAATCATGAACCTATACAGGTCTGTCAATTTACATTGAACATTCTAAGCCTGACAAAGCATTTTTATTTTTTAAACGATGTCTGTCTTGTTATTTTTAGGATTGGTCCTTTGTTTTTAAACCTTCACCAGTAAGTAAGTTTGTGGGATCAAGCAAATATGCCCCTCTTACGGTACTGCCAAGCCACAGCCTTCCACCAGTGACCATCCCAAGTAATTGCATTTATAAACCATCATGGTCACTACCACTCCAAGAAAAACAGGCAAACAGGTATGTACATTTTATATCTTTTGTAAAAGAACCAGAGAAAAATTTAGAGTAAGAGGCAGTATAAAATATAAAAATTAATCTTAGACTATAGATGGGACAAATGAGGTGAATACTTTGTATTTTTATTTGAAAACGTTTAGATTCTGCAGAAAACACAAACGAATATGGAAAATAGAAAACCTGTTAAATTTAATTTAAAATGTGAATTTCTAGTTTGAATTGCACTACGTTACAACCTAGTTTATAATAATTAATTGATTTAATTTAAAATCAATATGTATTCAATTTTATTGTAGCACAAACGTGAGCAACAGATCTGGAAATAATAACAATCAGGTGTCCACTCCTTCAAACAACAGCAATACTCCCAGTCCTGGCGTCTGGGGAGGAAGTAATACTGGATCTGCAACTGGGACAAACGTGACTCAAAATAGAGGAAACGGTTCTAGTGTAATACCTCCTGCTGCTCCCGCTCCGCCACCATATTCCTCACCGACGCCAAATCTCCCTTACCCCGCTCCCCCTAAGCTCGAAACCCCGCAACCAGTTCCACCAGAGGCCAATTCTCTTGTCGTCATTGTCCTTCTCACAGACACTGCCTTCAATATCTTCCGGGACCACAACTTTGACAGTTGCACACTTTGTGTGTGCAATGCTGGACCAAAGGTTATTATCTTATTAACGACTTTGCCAAACATTTTTTACTTGTTTCATTTTCTTTGTATGGCATTGAATAAACGTTAAATTTTTCATTGCTAGGTTGTTGGAAATATTAGAGGTGGAGATGCCAGTATGTATCTTCCAATGCAAGGAGGCAGCAGTTCACCTCCTTGGGGTACACCATCGCCACATTTGTCCATTGAAGAAGAGCCCATTAGATGCAACTGTGGTTTCAGCGCTGTTGTCAACAGAAGGCTCTCCCACCGAGCTGGACTCTTTATCGAAGATGAATTTGAAATTACTGGTAAAGTGTCCTTGTTATCTACTTTTGAGAACTACTTTTACATTACGATTTGTTTTTCTAGGCATGTTGGAAGAACCATGTGAAAGGGAGAACAGTGGCATCGGTGGTCTTGGAAAAATTGAAATGGAACTAATGCAGGCCCAGTGTCTCGTTATAAACAGCATGAGCAATGCTCTGTATAGAGCAGCCAACCAATACAGGCATATGACGCCTGTGCCTAATGTAAATATGCTTGCCTTAAGGGATAGCAATCATCTATCTGCAGTTGCGCTGGAGCAGGGAAGGATAGCCCATGGAACCAACAATCCTTCAATGTGCAAGGTATTTCATTTGATTGACCTAACAACTTTAGTAGGGTTGCTAGAAAATCATGAGATTAAAAAGAGCTAAAGGCACATAACATTGTAACAAAATTTTAATCTATAGATGGAAGAACTGGGATGTGCAAGAGCTGGATTGGGTTCAAGTTCAGTGCACAGGTGGGGATTTATTAGGGCAAAGGGCCCGGCTTGTAACCAGGACATAGTTCGTGTTATGAAACAGCTTCAGCCATTATTGCAAGATGCCATGCAAAAGAAGTGCAGTACTCGACTGTGGGAAGCGCCCACTGTTTCAGGCCCACTCACATGGAGGCAATTTCACAGATTGGCTGGCCGAGGTAATTTTAAATTCTTATTGTGTATTAGACTGACTGGACATCCAACATCTGATGTATTATTGAAAGTGATTAAGAACCACATAATATCTCGTCTCTTGGGTTTCAGGTACTGATGACAAATGTGAACCACAGCCTATACCTTCGTTGATAGTTGGAAGAGAAAAAGACTGGGTTTCACTTGCACCTTACGCAGTGCCTTTATGGGACGAACTCCTTCTAGAACCCTATTCTTACAGTAGAGACATTGCCTATGTCGTAGTGGCTCCCGACAATGATTTTGTCCTCTCGAGAGTGCGGTCATTCTTCAAAGAACTATCAGCTACATACGAAGTAAAAGATCTTGCAATATTTGCTGGAAAATTTGTTTAAATTGAACAATATAATAATATAAATTATGATGTAGGTATGTAGACTGGGTCGCCATTGTCCAATCACAAAAGTTCTGCGTGATGGAATTTTGAGGGTTGGAAAAAGTGCCGCATTAAAGTTAGCTAAGGAACCTCTCGATGACTGGTTTTCTCTACTTGGCGATAACAATGTGTCAAATATGCTTAAACTGTATGCACAGGTAAATTTTTGAAAAAAGTTTTTTAGTCATATTAATTTCATACTATTATTAGGTTTGTTCCAACACACAATTATAAACAGTTGCCAATTAATCTGTGATCTATTGACTGCATGCCCAGGCAATAATTGATCAAATTGATAACTCTATAAGAACGCTAATTTTCCACTCTTGAACTCCTACAATCAAATGGTACCTTCTGTATGATCTGTACTTCATAAAGTTGCTGCTTCTATGCTTTTTGATTAGAACTTGAAAAACCGATTATTTTAATTGATTTTTTTAAATTCTGACTGATTGCTGCTACCACCGTCAGAAATAATAAGGTATTTTAAGCTGTGAGTAACAGGGGGAAACTATTACAAGGGACCTGGTGGTTGAAAAAAGAGAAATCCTGTCTATGTTCTGGTTAAATCCAAAAATGTCAGCACCTTTGAGTCAAAAAGGCTGCCTTATTCTTGGTATCTGCAGTGATAACAAATCTTGGTTCCACTAGTCTATCCTTTCATATTTCAAGTCATTTTTAAAGAATATTGCACATATTAGTATATTTGAAATTTTTATTATTGTTTTACTTTATTACATTATTTTATTAACAAACGGACACAATAGAATTTTCCTGAAATAAATAATGGGCATCTTATTTGAGCCTATTTCCTTGCAAAATGAATATATACTAGACTGAAAAAATATATTTATAAAAGAAATTGTTCTGAAGAAAAATAGGAAAGAAATTAGCTGGGTGATGTCTCTGATGTTTAACCTATGTAGTTTAATATAGTTGAGGACTTTCATTGCAAAATCCGGATTCCAATTTTTAAAACTTTATGATTTTACAAGATCAAAGCACGGGGAAACGCGCGCATGTCTCCGATTGCTGGTAACCAAATCCTCAGACTGTTTTGGCATTCAGTGAACTTAGCTTGAAGTTGGAACGGCTGACTGTATTGCCTTGCAGTTGTGTTAACATTTGTAGAGAGTTGGAACGCCGAAACTTAACTGCATACCCCGTGCCCACCAGTGTGTGGATTGGAAGTGTGATGGAAAAAACCTTTTGTCATTAGACTCATGTAGCCATTATCACATAATAATATACAACAAAAATATTGCAGGTTTGTAGGCATCATCTGGCACCTCACTTATCCCAAGTAACTATAGATCGAACGCTCCTTGATCCTCCTGAGAGTTCTACTTCTCCAAGGAATCCAACAATCGACAGACCTGCACCTTCTCCCAGGTCTGAACAACCAAATACGCCAAAACCACAAGAAAATCAAGGTAAGAGATATCTTTTACACAAATTTATAATATCTAATGTTTTTCTTACTTTCCCTTAGATGATACTAGTAGTAATACTGGTAGTGACTTTGGAACAAGCAGTGGTGGTGTAGGTGGGGGCGGAGTCTCCAATGGTGGGCACTGCCCAAATTTTGAGGACGACGGTTCAGAGCCTCCAGCGATTGTCGTCTACCTCGTCGAGCCATTTACACTTGCATCAGATAGTCCTGATTTGCAACGACTTGCCTGCATTGCTCTTCTCAGAGCTTTTAACACGGTCCTTTCTAACATTCCAGAAACTGTCAAATCCAACATCACGTTACAAGTGAGTAATTTTAAAATTTCAATAATTTAAAAAAGTTTAATTTACTATTTATATTTAACACATTCATTGCAAATTGAATCTGAAATCTGTTGAATGAGAGTGTTTTTTTGTTTCTAAAAAAAAAAATGGTGATGACGATCCTACAAAACACCTTTATATATTTTTCTTCTTCTAATAAATGGCCTTTAGCAACTCGCATATTACCCAGAGTTCGTTCCTATAGTTTCATTTATATGTGTAGTTGGGGGGAGCATGAAAAAAAGGGCCAGTCTTTCACCCTGGGGCAATGATGGGAATCGAACCCATGACCGTGGGGATATACGAGCCGAGAGTCAATTGAGCTAACCACTCGGCTACTGCGGACTTGAAGAACTTGTTAAATTAAAGGGGAAAAAATTTCTCTCCCTCTCTCTCTATTAAAGCCTAATACTACATTGTTTTTATTTATAAATAATGTTCTCAAACACTATTCAAATGGGTTGACAAGCATGGCTTTCATTGCAGTGGATGTGTTTAAATAATTAATGGAATTATTAAATCAAATATTTACACTAAAAAAAATATATATTTATGCTTTTTTTAAGATCATTTCTTTGGAGAGCATAGTAGAGAATGGAAGAAGTGGAGATACTAATAGAAGAGGGGATCATATGAGATCTTTGGCGCTTTCAGTTTTTTCACAGTGCAGAAAGACAATGTCTCACAGTACTAACAATGTTAAAGCTCTGACTGGTTTTGGTACCGCAGCCAGCAATGAAATATTCCTTAAAAATAAAGATGTCAGTCCTGGTTTCTTATTTTTGTTTTCAATTTATCCATTACACTGTGAACATGTTGGCAAAGTGGTAAAAGAATGTTTTATTGCAGGAGAAGAACAGGGCTCCGTACAAGGTGTATACACCTGCGTACATCTTAGCTAAAAGTAAAGACAAGGTTCTACCTAACTCTGGATCTACTGCGGCAGCAGGAGAAGGAGCTGTATCTGGCCCGGACCATTGTTCTATCCTCTACGTCAGTTACTGTCTGTCAGAAGACCAGCGCTGGCTGTTAGCTTCGGCGACCGATGAACAAGGCCTCATATTAGAAACGGTCACCATCAACATTCACATTCCGAATAGGAGTAGAAGGAGGAAAGCTTCTGCACGTAAAGCGGGCTTGCAAAAGCTAATGGATTTTATGCTGAGCGTCATGAGCCAGTCTGTCACACCTTGGAGGCTTGTTGTAGGACGAGTCGGAAGAATTGGACATGGAGAGCTCAAAGGTTGGATAATTTTTGTACATTGTTATTCTGTTTTGAACTCTTAATAACTACTTAACAAAATTTATTGTTAAAAAATAGTATTTTGTCTCTACAACATATATTTATACTTTTCAGGGTGGAGTTGGCTTTTGAGCAAAAAGTCACTCATGAAAGCATCAAAGCATTTGAAAGAAATTTGTGGACAATGTAAACTACTCTACCCGAACGATGTTCCTTGCATTCTCAGCGCCTGCCTTGTTTCATTGGAACCAGATTCGGCGTTAAGACTTATGACAGATCAGTTCACGCCTGATGAAAGGTTCAGTCAAGCAAGTGTCAAGTGTCAGCTTTCAACTCCACACGACGTTACAGCAACCCATATTCTTGTCTTCCCAACATCAGCAACAACTCAGGTATTTTTGTTAGCTCAGTAGGAATTGTTATTTTTATTTAGGTTCTACAAACAATTTAAAAATAATAATAGTGCAATATCATTAACATTATGGAAAACAAAACATCAATTAGAGTATTTTTGAAGCTTTTTATTGTTGTACTACTTGTAATAATAATAATAATTACAATTTTGTTGTATACATTTTTTATAGTCGTCTCAGACTGCATTCCAAGAACAACATATTAATGATCCTGAACTTGGTGATGATGAACTTTTCTCCGTTCTTGATGATGATATGCCAGAAGGGATGAGTGAGTTCAATGATATCTTTGCCACATGGCCCGACCCTGAGGCGGGCGGACCGAGGAGCCCAACAGGAAGCCCTAGAGCAAGACAAGATTCCGCTCCAGGAAGCCCAGCCGGAGGTCTCACACCCCATCAGCATAGTCCATACCAGCACCCGAACAGAGTATGTTTCCCCCCCCTTTGTGCAATTGAACTTTTAGAATTAACATTATCATATTCCAGAGTGGAGATGGAAACGAAGAAGTAGGTACTGTACTACAGCAACCGTTGGCGCTAGGTTTCCTCGTATCGACAGCCCCAACTGGTAGGATGCCTCGATGGTTCTGGGCGGCTTGTCCACATCTGGAAACCTCGAACCCGGCATTTTTGAAAAATGCCCTGCACCTACATTCAACAGCGATCCAACAAAATTCGGACGATTTACTTCAACAACAAACTGCTGTAGCTGGACATCCTCTCGACTCGCAATACACAACTGATGTTTTGAGGTGAGTTTTTAGTTTTATCTAGAAAGTTTTAAATCGGTATAGCTTAATTTATTAAAATTTCATCCAATATGGATTTGCTGAAGTCACATTTTTGTAATTGTGTATTAAGCAACTCAACCAAACAAAAAACGTTTAACATACTTGATTCTATAGTTTCCTCACAATTTTATGATTCAGTTAAAAAATAACATTTCATTCCCTCTACAAATAAAGGTTTTATCAGAGTAGTTTATATGCTCGTGTTGAAAAAAAAAAAAAAAAAGATTTGTGATATGTGCTTATATCATGTAAGCATAAATTTTAAGTAATAGTAAATTACAGCTTGGTGAATTTGTTTTTGTAGGTACGTTCTGGAAGGGTATAATGCTCTTTCCTGGTTGGCTTTGGATTCTAACAGCCATGACAGGTTGTCATGCCTTCCAATACATATGCAGGTCTTAATGCAGCTATATCACATGACTTCTGCACTTGCTTGACCTGTCGATAATTTATTTTAAACTTTTAGACAAACTTTTTAATGGAATTCCTTCATAGTTATACCACTGCCTAATTCCCACTATTGTAAATATATTTAAAGATGTACAAAGTTCAACATGGAATATTGGTAAACTAATGTAACTCATATTCTATTTTAAACAAGTGACCTAGTCTTTTGTGGGAGGTTTTTTTTTGTTTTTGTTATAAGTACTTAGATATTTAAAAAAAAAATATTGTCCTTTGAGAAAACGGAAGATGTATTGTTGATAATGAAAATGTAGACATGATTTTATGGAAGTACCACTATTATGTACTTGAAATATTCATTCTTGTTTTCAAAGCATAAAGGTCTTCTTTCCTAAATTAATGACCTAAACTAATTTTTTTAAATTGTTAATCTCTGCCTTTGTCATTTATTATTTATTTATTTGATTTCACATTTTTATATGTTCACCGATTGTAAATTTTGTACAGTAACTTTTTAATTTATTTCTTACCCTTAACTGTACCATTTTGTACATTTTTGTTTGCGTATTTATTTTATACATGTATATAAATATGCTTACTACAAAATAGTTGAACCTGTATCGCATCAGCTCATGAAAAAAAAGTTATCTGTTAAAAATTTATATTTGATCGTTTAAGTATATTGATTTTGGGCCTAAGATAAGTCACACAACTCATATTCTAAATTGAATTTAATCAGGGTTTAAGTCCTCTTGTAGAAATAAGTTTAACGAAATGTCTGTTGTAAAAGGCGAGTTGTATTCTTCTATTTCCATTCCAAGTTTTCCCAAAATGCCTGTGTCAGTTGATAAAAGTGAAAGGAAAAAAGAAGTTAAATTGCAGGCGAGTTTCCTGAGCAGAATCGCTATCAGATCGGTGTAGCATTTTGCAAATAAATAAAATCGCACCTTTGGTATCGGATGACTTTAAATATCTTACTTTGACTCCTGCAATTCGAACAGTACTATTGCATTACTAAATTAAATTTCAAAACTGATTGAAATAATTTATCATGACGTGTCTTCAGTCGTTCAGGAACAATTTTTCTATGATCTAATTTGTGAAATAAAACAATTACTTGCTCGTTTATCGAGTAAAAGTGATTAGATGATATTACTTACTGCCATAACTTAACTTTTATTTATAAAAAATAATAATAATAAATTAAAAAAATAGTAATACTTTGTAGTAAAGACGATGAATTATTTTTTTACTTTCTTGCAGTTGACCACAGATTGCAGTTTCTTTAAATATGATCAAAGACTAAGCCCAATTTGGCCTGTTATAAAATTGCCATTAAAAACAAAAAAAATCAGACCAAAAAAAAATACAGCAAAAAAACAGTGCAGTATTTAACCAATTGATTTTTGATAATGAGAGCTGTTAGGGTTTGGATGATTTACAGTCTTATTGCTGTAGAAAATTAGTTAATAAAAGTCAATTTGCATAAATTATAAATATATATTTGAATCCAATTCGACCTCTTGTGGAGCACACAGGTGATGGGTAACGTTAGCAATTTTTATTTTTTATTCCATTCAGTGTTGTACTTTACATGGACATTCTATTGTTATTAATATTAAAGATATTATAATTGATTATGTATGGAATTGATAAGTAAAAACCACTCACGTATATACATTTTAAACATACGTATATATACAGTGATGTAAATATATTCAAGAAAGGAAATTATTTTTGTTTGTTCAATTGATCGGTTATCAGCGGGGCCCAGCTCGACTTATGGAATGTTATTTGCAGGTTTTTAAAATCCCTGTGGATATAATACTTGTATATAATTAAATCCTTGAAAGAAAACGGCATTGGTATGCTTTAAATGGTATTTTGTTTGTACTATTCCTATTTCCAAACAAATAATTTTTATCTCACTAATCTAAAAAATATAAAAAAAATGTTCAACAGAACTTATAAACCAAAGGGCTTAGGTTTATTGTAAATAGTATAAATATATAAACATGTAAAAATATACTATTTATGTATATTCTATAAGTATAAATTAAATTAAAATGGACGACACTTAATTTGTAAATATGTTTAATAAGTTAACTAATAATAGGGATAGTTTTAAAAGTGTGTAGATCGTTCTAGTAATTGGCAATACCAAAGAGCTAACAAGACCTACAGTCAAGTATTAGCTTCAATTGTTAGTTGCAATGAGTTAATGAATTTATACGGAAAAAGAAAGAAGTTAAATGTTTTAGTTGATTATATCATAGAAATAAAGGAACCTGGAAAGGAGGTGCGCACATACACAAGCACGCACGTGCTTGTGTTTATATAAATATATATATAGTATTCATAGTTATAATTATTTATTTACCTAAATTAAATTTTAGTAGGTCATTCGTCATTGACCCAATTAATCTTGTATTATAAAATATAAATTGTTATATGTTATTTATTTTGTAGTATATAGCCCTAAATAATATGTCATTGATTTGATATATAATACAAATACAAAGGGAAAAACAACTTGTCATGCATGTTGCAAGCTCTTGGGGCCAGTAGTTAACTTATCACACAGTATTTTAACTCTGCCAACAATATATAGCAAATAATTCATAAAACTGTAAGTTTAAAAGTAATCGGAAACAAGTAAATTATATATAGGGGCCGGGGATAAATTATGACAAGTATTGTCACCGATGAATGTGGGCACCACTTATGTGTCAATTACTTGTAATCACATATCCTGATTAAACCCCTCACCCCCTCCGAACAAAAAGAGAAGAAAAAAATGAAAATGTTCTCCCATCCCCTCAACCCCTAAACTATTTTTGTACAGTCTCCTCTGGTTGTAGGAAAGTGTAATTTGTACAGTAATTAAATATATTAAAATTTAATTAAGAGCGTATAATAAAATTCACTTTATTTGTCGACTAAACAAGAGATTTTTATTACATTTTTTGAGAGAGTACAAAACATGACTGCTGAATGTACTTGTTCAATGTGTGTTGTTCATTTTATATAACTGTTAGGTATTAGTGTTAAAATGTTAGCACATGTAGAAATATTTGGGATTATCATTAAAATGTTATAAATTATAATAAAATATGAAAAAGTTATTGGTTAATCAATAACCCGATTTATAACAGGTTTTCAACGTCAGTGCTCGGGTCAGTCATACTCATGTAATGTGCTCTCTGTCAAAAAAATAAATAAAAGACAAATAAAATGGTACACATACTTTCTCTAAATACTGAGTTTTCCTTATTTATAACAATTTCCTATGCCTGACTTAATCACCCCAGCACTGTCGTTCTCATCGGTGCAAGGATCACTTCTTACATGAATTGTCCAGCAATTTATTCCAATATACCGACTTGATTCCTCATTGGACTAAGCACAAGGTACAAAATAAGTAAGTATAAATATAGTTTTTTTTCTTTTTAAAGGGGTTCACAACAGCAGAGGTCAACCCCTAGTTTGCCAGTGTCATTTGTAAGTTCAGATGGATTCGGACCTGAGTACTTTACCTTTACTGAGTCTAAAACTTGCCAATTAAAAAGAAGAAAAACTAATCAGAATTACAAAATAATTATACCAAAGTGCATAAGGTTACTTTTCTTTTTCTTTTTTTTTCAGTGAAAAATTGACTTGTTTGTCATTTCCAAGTGTCACTCCCTTAACAAGTAATTTTTCAAAGCAACAAAACTCCCACTTAAACCTATGGCAACATGATTTTCAAGTTGATGATATATTGAATAATCTCTATAAATTTCTTCGTCCTAGTACCGTTCGCTCTCACAATGAACAGAACAATCAGAATCAAGATAAACAATAGCAATGAAAACTGGTGTTACTTCTTTTGTAGTTTCAATATTAACTTCTGCAGTTGGAGGGAGATGAAATCAGCAGTTGCTTTCCAACATCATCATGCCATAGCATACAAGGAAAGAAATAATTGATTTTAACAATGTACAATAAAATAAATAATAAATAGATACTAAAATATATGCTTTTTTCAGATTCAATCTCTAGAAAGTCAGTATGATGACCACAAACTACGACTACATGTTACAACCACCGACAAACAAAGAGAATAATAGTATTACAGATACTCCAATCCAACCCCTGCAGAACAAAAAAACCTATTGTTCAAGCAAATTTAAATAACGTAATATATTAACGGAGAGAAAGATGAATCCATAGTTTTTGGAATGGTTGTTGCAATGCAGCTCAGAAAATTTTCCAAAGAGATGGAGATTTCTGAATTCAAAATGTTCTGACAGACAATTAATTAAGGTTTTTAGTTGAGATGAAAAAAAGCTAATGGCACGAGAGGGATTCGAACCCACGACCTCGGCTAGATACGCCGCTGCTCTACCACCTGAGCTATCGTGACCTCGATCCACTCGGACATCAACTCCCCATCTCAACCCCACCTTATGAGTTTTCCCTCCTTTTCCCATTTTTCATCTCAACTAAAAACCTCAATTGTCATGTATTAATTGGTCAAGTGGACCACAAAAGTAGTGAATTAATGATTTAAAATGAAGTACACTTCACTAAAGCTCTCCGTCACCATTTCAATTGTCGTCGAGAATCCAAACCGATTACACAACATTTGAAAAATGGCAAAAGGAGGTAAAACTCATAAGGTGGGGTTGGGATGGGAAGTTGGTGTCCGAGTAGATTGAGGTCACGATAGCTCAGGTGGTAGAGCAGCGGCGTATCTAGCCGAAGGTCGTGGGTTCGAATCCCTCTTGTACCATTAGCTTTTTTTCATCTCAACTAAAACCTTAATTAATTGTCATGTATTAATTGGTCAAACAGACCTCGAAAGTAGTAAATTAATGTTCTGACAGAATTGATCATCCGAGAATTAAAAATGAACTGGCTCTTCTGCAGTCGATGTAACATTTGTTAAGCCAGAAACAGTAGATACATTAGATAATTCTGAAATTTCTGATCATTTGAAAGTAAAACCTACTGTGAATGCCTCCACATTTTGCTGAAATCAGTTGTGGTTCCTATGGAAATGATTACCAGCATAATAATACTCATAATTTTTTTAGTGTAATTAAAAAAAAAAAAAACGAGATATCGTGCAGAAAATTTTACCTTCTGATTTAGTTTTGTTATTAAAAAAAAAATTTGTTCCTTGCTTACTAATTACTATCCTCCTCATAATTTGTTGAAGTCATGAGGAATGGTCAAGAATGAGATAGTTTAGAAAAACATCTTTTTCCATTTTTGCCTACTATTCCTAGGTAAATTACAAAACATATGTTGATTGGAAAAAATACAATTTAACATGTAAATATAAATTTTGAACCTAGTTATTTCATAATTTATATTTACATCTTAAATTGTATTTTTTTCAATCAACATGTTCTGTAATTTACCCAGGCCCTGGAGATGACCCGAATAAAGGTTGAAACGTAGATAAAAAATGAAAAAGGTGTTTTTCTAAACTATCTCATTCCTGACCATTCCTCATGACTTCAACAAATTTGAACCAACAGGTCACTAAGAAACACACACTTCTCATATTTTTTTAAATATTACCATGTTTCTTTTTGTAGATATTTCTTGAAATAAACAGTGTTAAAAACAAAGCAAAATTTAATAAATTTTGACTTGACTTACCTTCATATAAATATGGTACTTAAATCAGTTTTTGCGAGGATCTCAAGCTTTATAGCTATAGCTCCCTGAGCCAGAGAGGAGAGTCACTTTTAACTTGTTTCTGGCAGGTATAACTTCTCTAAAAATAGTGTCTGACCTTAGTATCCCTCCTGCGATTTACAGTAAAAGTTTAAATTGTTTACTTTTCATAAACTTGCGATATTCTATATCTTCACTTGACAGTTCTGTTAGAAGTTCTCTTGATGTCTCATGGGTACTTTGGACATCCATATTTGTTTTTTGACGGTTCAACAACTCTGACTCATTAATCAATGCAAATATCATAAATCATCTTTTTATTTGTTAATTGAGAGATTTTTTTCTTCCGGGACTTCTCTCAAAAAGATAAATTCAAATAAACTCCTATACAAGTCATGAAAGAGGTAAACACTGTACTTATATGCTAGCATTGGGGGGGGGGGGCAATACTTGGGTGTAAAACCGGCCATAAATGGGTGCAGAAAAATATCTTTTATGAAGATGGTACAAGCAGATATAAGATATATAATAGAGATACATTGCTAATATGTAGTATTACACACCTAGAAAACATTTTTATGAAAATAGATCAACACTGTTACAAATGGAAAATAAGGAAACAATTTTTTTGGCACTGGGGGGGTGACCAGTATCAGCTCGAGACGAGGGTGTCCTCGGCCAGGCTTAGCGAGGCCAAAGACACACGGGCAGTGTTTTGGAGCCGAAGGAGGCCGGGACATCGGTGAGGACTGAGTCCCGGCTTGCGAGGTTCGAGCTTGATTGGGTCAGTGTTCAAATCAGAGAAAAAGAACTTTTTTAAAAATTATTTTGGATTTTATTATCTTATCGTGTAGTGGAGAATTCATGTGTACCAGGGAAGAACCGCCCTGGAATGAGAAGGAAAAGGATTGGCACGAGGTTTAACTTTTTTTATTTTCTGACCATTTATTTTTTTACTGTAGAAGAGAACTTGTTTTATTTCCTTTTTCCATTTTATTCGCGACACAGAGGACATTAATATTATTTTTTTCTTTTCGTGAAACTCTGTGGGTTCACAATTTCCTGAAAAGCAATTTGGAGTTTGGTGTGCGATTATTTCATTCTTGGAGAAGCAGCTATGGGGGGAAAATCTCCACTGAGCCCCAAATATCTGGTGACCAGGTGTATTGTCAACGGTCCGAGGAGGAACCAATAACAACTGCTTTTGCACACACACGTACACACACATGTAATAACAATGAGAAAATATAGTATAAAAATAAAACACAAATTATTAAAACATTTTTAATAAACTAAAAAAAAAGAAATTTACAAGGCCTAAAAATACATATGTATACATGAAAAAAGTGTTATAGTCTTTATTCTTCAAGGTAGGCATCATGGGAGACGGCATGTTTGTGAAACCTTGCTTCTGTCCGAAACCTCATTCCGCATATAATACAGTGGAAAGGCCTATCCTCCGGATGTTCAGCCGACACATGCGAATTCAGTTCTGCTTTTCTTGGAAATCCCATGCCGCAGGTCATGCATATGTGAGGCTGTCCTAGACTATGACCTTGTACATGATTGATAAAATTAGCCCTGTGCCTTATTTTTCTTCCACAGAGTTGACACTCGAATGGTTTTTCACCTGAATGTATAAACATGTGTTCCTTCAACGTCGCTTTAGTCGATAGAACACGTCCACAGATGTCACACGGAAGCCCAGGTTTACTCCTCGCCCTCATGTGACTGTTGAGATGCTCCCAACATGCAGCTTTACTACGGAATTTCTGTCCACACTCCCGACACTTATACTCTCTTTTTAACACTTTGTGGTTCCTTGCGTGCTTGTCCAACTCTTCCAACGACTCGAAACACTCCTTACATATACGACACCGAAAACTGTTCGTTATAGTATGACTGTTGACGTGCTGGATGAGATTTACTTTAGTTTTAAAAGTTTTGTCGCACAACATACACACGTGTTGTTCAGGATTTTCGTCATTTTTCGTCAGGGTTTTCAACCTGTCCACCTTCTTGATCTCCTTTTTTTTAGCTAATCCTTTTTTGTGGTATTCCGAATGGCACAATTTGTGAGCGCTGAGCTGCCGAAGCGACTTGAAAAATGATTTTCCACAAATATCACATGAAAACTTGTCTCCTTCTCTGTCATGACGATTGCAATCTTCATCACCTGGAAACAAAATCAGTTAATCTTCCCTACCTCCATGTTTTAATTTTCTATTTTTCTATAGGTTTATGAGGTAAACCTGCAGTTGCATTGATGATGATCACCTCGTCTATGTATATTTTTCTTAGTTCTGGTACTTTTTATACAATAGAATAGAACAGCAGTTCCCAAACTTTTTCTGTTTTGGGCATATATCAGAATTTTTCCGCAGTGCCCCAAGTCAAAACAATGATCTACAGCGTGAACTTTATGATAATAGTCAGAATTCATTTTCAATTCAGAAAAGCTAAACCTCTTATTTTGTTTTCTATTTTATTTAATAAATAAATCAAAACTCCTGACTTTCTTGTGAAATTGACAAACTTGTCTTTTAAAAATTATGCAAAAGATTACGCACTTAATAGCAAAAATATAAAATACACAATTGCTGCTGTCTTGTTACATCCATATTGAGATTGGATGGCCACCAGAGACTTAGTTTCTAGGGTTTTATAAATATAAAAATAATAATTTTTTATACAAAATTTTCATGGTACCCCAGGGAGCCACGTGCACAGTGGGAATCACTGGAATAGAATACTTTAATTTTTCAAGTAAGTTACATGCAATAGGAATGATAGTTCAAAAAATAACTAAGTGCAGCATGGATTTCATTCTGTCTGCCAGAGTTGTTTTAACAAAAAATAAATAAATAAAATTAAAAAAAAAAAAAAAAATAAAATAGTTAATGTTAGGTAGGCTGAAAATAAAGATGTCGAAGTATTATCATTATTTGTTCTTTTTATATATTACAATTAATTAAGGTTTTTAGTTGAGATGAAAAGTTAATGGCACGAGCGGGATTCGAACCCACGATCTTCGGCTAGATACGCCGCTGCTCTACCACTTGAGCTATTGTGACCTTGATCCACTCTGACATCAACTTCCTATCTCAACCCCACCTTATGAGTTTTCCCTCCTTTCTGCCATTTTTTTTTTTTCCATCTCAACTAAAAACCTTAATTAATTGTAATGTATTAATTGGTCAAGCGGACCACGAAATTAGTGAATTTAATTTTTATATATTTTTGAAAGATGAAAGGGGTGCTGGTGTTACCTTGACAAAATCTTTCATATGTTCTAGTCATTTCAGTTGTTATTTTGTCTTGAAATTTATATATATATATAATGTGCAGTGTTTTTGAGTGAATTATTATGAAAAAGTTGTTCATAATTTTTTTCCAATTTGGATGTGTTTGTGTACAGTGAACAGAACCAAACTAGTCTGTGTCGAGAGTTCAGATTTTACTGTCGTTTTGTTGTTGTTGTTGAAGTACATATAGTTGTAATTTTATGTCATTCTTAAAGATTTAATGCATTTAAAGAAACTAACAGAATGAAAATTAAACTTGCACATCTTTTAAAAAACCTATAAAAGGAAATTGATTAAGAAAAATAATTTAAAAAATCCCAGGATGATCAGATACGTCAAAAAAGAAAACAATCTTACCACATATATAACATAAAGATCCTTCACTTCCTACTCCTTCAATGTTTATTTCCCCATCATTTGCATCTTTGTCAACGAGAGCCTGAAAAATCAAAGTAATTCGAACATTTAAAACACTGAAACAATCATTGCTCAGACAGTTAATTGTTAGTCAAAAATTAAATTGCTGTGGACAAATTAGATTTTTGTTTAAATGAAAGTATGAACCGTTGTCCTGTCTTGATCAGAAGAATAATCTAATTAATTAACCCATTCAGGACAGTGGCCACAGTATCGTGCTCTTAGCTAGCGAGGTGACGTGTACGCTACTTCTAAACCTCCTGTGAGGATATTGCACAGTTGCTTCCTTCTCACAGTGAAGTACTGAGGTGCACTCTATTACTAATCATGTACTGCAAGCGTGATTTTCCTCTTTTCTTTCTTTTCCTCCGGTGAGGTACTGGGGTCCCCCACCTCTACTCAGGTACTGCGCGCATGACTTTTAGAAGACAAACAATTTATTCCAATATAATAGAGGGAAACACGAGCGGGTTTTTTTTTAAATTTTTTTTTAATGAACTGAATCATCAACAATCAACAGAACATGAGGTCGAACTCTACAGATTTTGCTGGATAGAACTGTGCAGTTACTTAGTTAATTTTATCGACACATCACTCATGTAAAGATAAACTGGGCACTTATGTGTGGTCCTGTGCTCTGGTTATCCAACAAGTTATAGAACACTTTTTTTGTTGTGGTATATGAAAACGGCGTTGTACTCTAATACTTTGGTTTATTAGAACCCCATATTACTTTTATGTTTATATTTTATTACCCAAATTAAATTAAATGAAAAAACTTTTTTTTAGTGGAAACAAAGTACTGTTATTAGTTATCTTAACCAGTTTTGAGTATATATTTAATTGCATGTGACGAAGGTTGAGATGAAAAATTAGTGTTGTGAGCAGGACTGGAATGAACGACCTCTGGCTATCATGAGCTCACGAAAGAACCTCAACCTTCTTCACATAAAAATTAAATATACACTAGAAACAAAGTGTGTTCGTAAGATCTAAACTATAAGCAAAACTAGATGGAATTATAGTTATTTTACATAAAAAATAAATATATTGTGATAACGCTCAATCCAATTGAAAATTTTTTGTTGTTTATCCCAAAAAAATGTTTTTGGGATACATAATTTACCAAGGTCAGTTTGTATAACAATGTCAATAATAAAAAAATAAAAAACCATACCTCTGCCTCATTAGAATCCTCATTCATCCTCGCCAACATCTCTTCCACGGTCTCTTCTCTCTCCTAAATCGTATTTATTTTAAATTACAAACATATTTATTATTATAAAAGCAGTTGAAGATGTAGAAATATGTTGAATTAATTCAGACCATATGTTTAAAAACATTATTTTTAAATAAAAGGAACAGAAAAACTTCCTCATGAAAAGTATTTAATTCAGTTTTTAATAATAAAATAATAATAACCTTGCAAGAAAGAAAAGTAGAATATGACTCGGGTTAAGAAATCCATACCTACCTCCAAAAAAATTGGCTCTTCTTTTATCATAATTTCAGACGTTAAAATTACACCACCATCTTTTAATTGGTTATTGTTGAATGAATTGTCATTTGGTGAGAGTGAAAATGTTGATGCGACCCGAATAACAGGAGCAGACATGTCGTGCGCACCGCTCGATTTTTTAGAACTTTCCTAAAAACAATATCAGCCAAGTTGAAGTTCTATTTATTTATTTATTTTTTAATTCTAACCACTTAAGTTACCTTATGCATTGATTGAGGCAAATTTCGATTGTTTATAGAATAGGGTTTTATGCTGTTTCTCCACAATCGTCTCCCCAGCTTTGCTTCATAGCACAGCCTCAGTCTGCCGATACCCCGAAACTCCAACAATTTCACCAACCTCCCATAATCCCTGAAATAAATTGTATACTTGATAAAAAATCTTACAATATATTACACTGGTTAGAAATTTTTGATAAAGGAAGCTAAAACCGATTCAACATGACTGAGGAAATTAAATCCCTATTATCTTTACTCTCATACATCCTAATATTTATTTTCCTAGGCAGAAAAAAAGAATTATGGAAGTCTTTAGATCCTACATTAAGATAAACAATAATTAAAAAATGATTTGATTGAATTATCTGCATAGGTAAACACAAACAAGTGCTTTTTCAATTCATGTTTATTAATGATGTTGGGTACGTCTACTCGTATCAACACTCAATCGCTTTATGAGGAACATCAGGTCACACCGACCCTTGATCCCTTTACTGGGAACATCTGGTCCCATCTAAACTTGATCACTTTACTGGCTACATCCACTCTCATCCACAATCAATCGCTTTAACAGGAACACAAGTCCCATCAGCCCTCGATCGCTTTACTGCATACGTCTACTCACATCAACACTCATAATCACTTTCTGAGCATGTGTACTCACATCAACACTCAATCGCTCTACTGGGAAAATCATGTTTCATCAACCCTCGATCACTTTACTAGGTACATTTCTTGTTTCAACATCATGTATCTTCAGCCACCCCAATAAAATTATCAAGTGTCAATCTGGTCAATTGAAAATGTTCAACCTCTGTTAAATTACCTGGGATAAAACTTGTTCCTCCAGACAAGGGGTAGACGGAGAGAAGGTATCGCATCGACTTTCAGTTTCTTCCGGCCACCTGAGATTGAATAATAAAAGTGATGAAAAAAATAAATAAAAAAATGTGAGGCGGATACCCGTGGCCGTCGGTCAGCTCACCCTCGTCGGATTCGAAGTCTTCCTGTCTGAAGTGGCGGGCGCAGACGGCCATGTCGGTGGCGATCCGCCCGGGCAGCTTCACGGCCCGGATCCATCGGGCGAAAGCCGCCTCCTTCCGCTTCGGCAGCGTGAAGAAGTCTGCTTGACCGAGGGTCGCGCGCTGGGAGTCACAGCCGAACACGCAGCAGAGCCGGCTGTGGCGCGGCATCGGAGCCATCGCCCTTCCCTGGCAGTGCGGAGAGACTTTCACCTCGGGATCAACACGGAAGAAAAAGCCGGGAGCCGACTCGACGACTCGTAAACAACATCACAACCAAGTCAACAAACAAGTTATCCAGGAGGTTCTACAATCCGCTCCTAACGTCTTCTCAGCCAGTTCTACCAACCTTGATTCACAACTGTTGCAGCTACAGAAAAAGTATCGATACAATACTGGCATCGTTACCACTCAATACAAGGGATGGGTATCGAACCCAAAAACATCGATGTTTGTCTATCATGAAAAAGTAATACGCATTTTAAAAATTAATTGCTTTTACATGAAAAAGAAAAATGGTTCACACGAGGGACAATATACAATCCCCCACGTGTACAGAGTAGAGCCTATCACTTCTCGCAATCCACCGCAATTCCAACTATTTACATGTTTGTAATGCAAGCCTCGAGAATTACCTAAGGTGATGGTGATGGCAGTCCGGGTTCAGACTGACGGCCAAAATCCACTCTCAAATACAACCTGTTTTATTTACATACCTTTCAATATTCCGCAATAGATCCTCTCACACTACACATTCACGCTAATAAATACATTCACTCTCAACCCACACTAGGTTCACAAAACTATCATTACTATATACAATAAAGCAACCCCGTTTCCTACAAGAATCGGAACAGCAGTGCTCAAGCTCAATTCCCACATGGGGTAGCATTTCTACACGCTCTCTGTATGGAGCCAAGGAATTCCACCCTTCTGTTAGGTGGGACACTTCGAACAATCTTTCTCTACATGCCGGACATATACGTGGACTTTGGCTCAAAAGTAAGTGTCCGTGTGTTAACCTCGCATGGCCTATTATTAATCGTGTGAGGATGACCCTTCTTTTAAGAGTTATTCATCGGCGGAGTTCCTTGTCAAACCGAGACACACTGCTTTCGACTGGGGTAGCATCTCATGTCGTAGCATCCTTAAATGCCAATACAGCAGAATACACAGACTTCAGATCCAGACACGACCTCTTGGTCCCTAACCAGTTCCTTTGGGTTTCATATATACATATCTAATTTAACCAGCATTGTTGCTGAGGGACTGCTTGCACTGCCCAACAATCAGACCCTCCTCGCTGGAGCCCATATTGACAAAGACGGGGCTTGACGCTTGAATCCATACAGGGTTAAATGTCAATAATGCCATGTGTATTCACTAAATAAAACGTAGTTCAGTGTCACCAGAACGAGGTTTCTACCCTGAATCTTTCCTGAGATATTAATATATTGTGATTTTATTCTAAAATCAAATTTTTTTAACATAAAATCGTAATTTCTTAACTTTAGCGTCATTAAAATACAAATCTGATCTTTATTTAGCAAACTACATTAAATTTTTCACAAGAAATATTTCTTTAGAAAAACTCGCGCTTTTGGCAAAACCTATGGTTTTTTGGAAACACTTAATTTTGGCTCGTGCAATGACTTTCCATCAAAATTTTCGGGAATTTTACCAAAGTTGCCTTATTTTATAAGTACTCCAAAGACATACCCACTTTTACATTTTTTAGAACTTTCCTTTTCAAGGTTGAAAAATGTGATATCGAACCCAAGAAGAGCAGCAACCCAAGAACTTCGTACATATCACATTTTTTAATACGAACATTTATTAGTTAAAAAACTAGACACATTCTTCCCGTGGCATGGCAAGCGAGGATAAGCAGCCCTAGCCCTGATTTGACCCCACTAAATTTTTCCATATGAAAAATGCAGTGTACAGAACATCCATCAAAACACTGGATCAGCTCAGAGAGAAAATTTAAATCACGTGCAATGACATGAAGGAAAACATTTCGAACAATACAACTTATGAGAAGAATGGATCTGATTTTTGTTACCAACTAAATGTTCTAATTAAAAATATGACATATACGATTTTTTGTGTTGCTGCTCTCCTTGAGACGTTTTTCAACCTTGCAAAGGAGATTTCACTAAGAAAAGTTCTAAAAAATGTAAAAAATAAGACAACTTTAGTGAAACCCCGAAAATTTTGATGTTAAAGTCATTGCTCGAGCCACAATTGAGTGAAAAAAAGGTTTTACCATTTGTTATTCTTTGAACGGCTACTGTGTATTCGGAAGCGCGAATTTTTCAACGGAAATGTTGTTATTTTGTGTAAAATTTAATGCAGTTTGCGAAATAAAGGTCAGATTTGTCTTTTAATGACGCTAAAGTTGAGAAATTATCATGTTGTGTAAAAAAAAATCTTATTTTAAACTAAAATCACAAAAATGTTAGCATAGTTTTATTTAATGAATCCTCCATGGCAGTATTGACATTTAACCCTGTAACACCCTGATCCTTGTTTTCGAAGTCATCCCCAGACATCATTCTCAGCAGAAGATTTTATAATCAATGCTGAATTAAGAACTTTTTATTTATTATTATGTTGTATTTCCATTTTGTAAATAAATTTCAATTAATTATTCTATTTATCTGTCTTGGTCGAGATGAAAAAAGTTAGTGTCACGTGCTGGACACAAACTTTTTCATTTCAACCAAAACCTTGGATAAAAAAAAATTAATCGAAATAATTAATATGGTCAATTATGACCGCTAAACATATATGGATTTGTAAATAAAGTTCTTTATACATTCAAAAATATCGTTTTTCTGACAGACCGAAACCGGTCGTATCGAAATCGAAAACAAGCTACAGAATTTTTGTACCTTAGTAGGAAGAATAAGATATTTTCCCTCTCATCATTAATCAATTTTGCTATTGGATTAATTTTACTGTTATAAAAGTCATTAAAACTAAATGTTTTCGACTAGAGAAAATAGAAAGTAGAATTGAAGATTCATATTTTATATCGAAAACTGGTTATAAGGACGTACTCGATCGGTAAAGGCCACCTTGCACCGTTTTATATTTTCTTTCACGATTAGGGTTCATAAAATTCTATTAAGAAAATTTAAAATTTTGCAATTTGGCGAATAGAATTTTTGACCGAGGAGAGGAAATTAGTAATAAATAATTAGGTAAATAGTTAAAGGCGGGAAGAGTAACAGGCGACAGCTGTTTGTAGTAAATAACACTCATGGCCTTTTATTGTTGTGTTGCAGAACTCGTCAGTTTATTTGTTTATATTAGCTTCGATCTGTTTTACTTACCTGTGAGCTTTTTATAAACTTTTGCATTAAAAATATCAATTATAAATCAGCAATGAAAACTCGTGGTCGTGGGTCGGAATCACCACCGAGGAGATCGAGAAAACCAATTTTTGTCAATCGCTTGAAGGCCTGAATACCATGGAGAGTTTTCTCAGCACTGAAATCGCCAGATTGGTCTACGGTAAATTGTAAAATACCATTTTAGTCTATTGAATGACCGTTTTTTCCTGCTGCAGGTTATTTGGTGGAAGAGTCGTGTCAAAATGCAGCGTCTCTCTTCTTGGAGAACTCTGTTCACATGCACGAGTGCCTTTCTGTCGTTAGAAAAGGTCGTAGGTTCAGCACGAAAAAATGTGGCAAAACTCTGGTTGAGATTTTAGAAATACTGGCAGACGTCACATCGCTCGGTAAATAAATCGGTTTGTATCGGTACAGTTGACATGCTCATGAGTGTTCGCTCTGTGTGTTTCAGTGCGGAATTTCAGTGAGAACCGCGAAAGCGACTTGGAGGAGTTCCTGCGGAATCTGGTGGGATTGCTGATTTTTGTGGACGAGGCGCAAACAGTACCAAGAAAACTCAGGAACGAAGATGATTTTAGATGTGAACAAGTAGGATTCTCACATAATTTTTTTTGTCTTATGATTTGAAATTGTTTAAATATGGCTTTGTCGTCAAGGCTTGTGATAATTATTATTGCCTGTAATGATGAAACGGTTTGATATGATTTCTAATTGATCAACAGGCTCTTCTGAATCTTCATTTTAGGGTCAACGATAATTTATAACTGAACCAGCATAGGGTCAATTATTACCTTTCTTCACTCATAGTTGAATGGGTGCCTACAAGTCTGTGAATCCATGCTGAACTGGTATAGGGTCACTTGTTGGGTCTGTCTCTTCACACGTGGGTTTGTTGAATTATTTCAATGCATTTCAACATTGTGCCATCTTCAGTGAGGATCTATCTGTCATTTTTTCTGAGGAGGGTTTATAAAATTGGGTCCGATGGTAATTGCTGGGGGCATTTGCCATGGTCACATCTTTTTTTACTTATGATTTGAAATTGATGTAAATATGATTTTTCCGTCAAGGCTTGTGGTAGTCATTTTTGCCTGTAATGATGTACTGGTTTGTTATATTTAATCAATCATTAGGATATTCCTGATCTTCTTTTTACATCACTTATATAATAAAACATAAATGTATAATGCTTTTTAGCTCTAAATATTACATTTGAAATGAATTTTACATTTATTTAATATTAGATGGGCAGGATTATGTTTTTTAACGAATGCAGTTCCAAGTGGCAAAGTGATAGACTCTCAGCTCATAGACCACGCGGTCGTGGTTTTATTTCCACTGTCGCTCCTGGCCCTTTTTTTGATACAATTCTTTCCCCCAACTCGGTACATAATGAAATAATAGATGGAATAACTATATTAAAACTTTTATTGTTGTTAATATTTTATATTTGAAGAATAATTTCTCTCCTTAGAGCTTGCAAAAGTTGCAATTGGTCGTTTGTGATCAACTTGCCTATTATTATTATTTGCCATCTTCAGTGGTGGGTTACTGTGTTTTCTTACCTGAGCTCCTTTTATTTGTTTCTGTGTTATCTTTGTCATTATTATTATGTATAACCTTTTAGGGACTGATTTTTGGATGCATTCCCCAGCCTATAAACTCGGCCGCTGTGTGACCCCCCTCCTCAGACAGATTTATTTTGTATTAAGCATCAAATTTCAAAGCGTTCAGGTTGTTTACCCCTTTTTATTGCACCAATTTCGTGTAAAAAACATGTTTATAAAAAATAAACATATAAGGACAACAAAAATATATTCTGAAAATTACTGTAAGGGTAAACAGTAAAATTAAAACTGAAGCCACTGAGGGAATAACCAGAAAGACAATAGGGTAAAGGGTTGGGAAGGGCAGGGGCGAGAAGTAGACGAAAGTAGGATATTCACAATGAGACCTAGATGTTGTGGCCGAATAGTTTTTCCAGAGATAAGAATGCGTCGCAATTATGTAAAAGTTTGAGAGAGAAGTTCATGAGAATGGGACAGGAAGGATATGGGAGATCTTCATTAACTGCTGAGGCATCTGATACAACTTCAGCCTTATAGGTGCCATGAGTGACCAGCTAGGGCTCCTAAAAGGAAAAAAAAAAACATGAGGGTGAGATAACTCATCACTGAGGCCCAGGGAGCTTACCAGGACGAAATATCTCGTCACTAGTCCCAAAAAGTTTAACTATATTTGGTGGAAATTGTTAATTTCCTTTAAGGATAAATACTTATCATTGGATGCACTAATGTTCTAATAGATTTTGTCTATTGACAATTTTTATCTTAATATTATTTAATTCAGGAGGAGAATTTTTACAATGTTAGCCATCTGACGCTACTATATGACTACCAGTCAGATGTATGCCATTGGGTGATTTTGATACCTGTCGGCAATAGGGTAAATGAGAAGTGTTTTACAATATGAATATAAAGGACGAGTCCCTTTGCAATTCTCAATCTGTGGAAACAACACTGCATTTTATAGCCGAATGTACAATATTGGGCGAGATCAGGTTGTTGCACTTGGGATCTTTTACCCTCTCAAGAAGCACTCTGTTAAATCTGTTGGATGGCCCAGATCGACGGGTGCTCATGCAGTACGTCCGCCACGCCTGGAACTATAGATTAGACTAATTATGTTATTCAATTTCTGGCCCCTCCAATTCATTCACTCAATTTCCTTTATGTATTATATGACTTTATTATATCTGATTTTTTGTCTCTTTACCATTAAGACTTTTCCCCTCTGTTTGTTTTCTATTATAAGTAGTTTTACTATTATGTTTAACCTTTTTTGATGGTAGCATTTAGCGAATAATGTTATAACCTTGCTTTCATTCTTATATATTTATTATTATATCTTCACTATTATTTTTTTTCTTTTATTCTTTTTCTCTTAACGACCTCCAGTAGACGGATTGTGATCCATGCCTGTACAATGCTTTGCTAATAATCATTGTTATATTCGTAGTAATAAAACGCATTATGTAATAATATAATAATAATAACAATTAATTAAGGTTTTTAGTTGAGATAAAAAAGTCAATGGCATGAGCGGGATTCGAACCCACGATCTTTGGCTAGATACACCACTGCTCTACCACTTGAGCTATCGTGACCTCGATCCAATCGGACATGAAAAATGACAAAAAGGAGGGAAAATTCAAAAGGTGGGGTTGAGATGAGAAGTTAGTGTCCGATTGGATCGAGGTCACGATAGCTCAAGTGGTAGAGCAGTGGTGTATCTAGCCGAAGATCGTGGGTTCGAATCCCGCTCGTGCCATTGACTTTTTTATCTCAACTAAAAACCTTAATTAATTGTAATATATTAATTGGTCAAGCGGACCACGAAATTAGGGAATTAAATACACACTTATTCAAATAGAAGGACATTAAAGTGAAAGATATATTCTAATAAATTTTGCTTTTTTAAAAACTATTTTACACTTTAATTTTTTCCCTATACTATATATACCACATTTTTAAAGTGGTGATATTATTTACTAATAATGAAAATGTCAGACATTTTTTTGCCCAGAAGAAAATGTGATCTCCTTTCACCAAAGAAGGTTGAGAATGGAACTGGAACAATCTTTCCCGATGTAACTGCACATACCTCAGCATTGACAGCAATTCTCCTTATTTTGCAATACCCGCCTTATTTTGGAGGTAGAGGCAACCCCGATATACTCCGCACCCGTAGGGTACTAGATGCCTTATAAGCACTTTATAAATTAAAAGAGTCACTGCAGGCCTCAGTTTAGATTTCCGGTTGATCAGAGTGTAAAGCATACCTGGTCGAACATATCCTTTATTTACCTTTTTTGTTTTTATGCGTATTCCAAGTCAGCCTTTGGTTCAAGTAAACTCCAAGGTACTAGTGTGCTGTCTTTGGGATTCCAATGGATGTTTGTTCCTTCAATATTTAATTCAGGGGGGGGTTCTTGGTAGTGTAAAAATCTTACTTTCACATTTACTGGGGATTTTCATAGCTAAGAGTAGCATTAATTTCATGCAAATTTACCTAGTCTATTAGTTAATTTTTTAAAATAGTCCATGTTTTCTTCCAAAATTTGTTTAGCCAGTATTTTAGGATTTATTTGCTCCGACATGTTCAGCACTTTTAGTATGTAGTGATGGTGCAATTTTAAGGAGTACAAAGATAGAGGTTCATGACCCATCATGAGAAATAAGAAGGCTGAAAGTGTGTAACATGGCAGCCCAAAAAATCTTTTTATAAAGAATTGAAGCAATTTTTCAATTTCATCATAAATCTTGAGCATTTTAACAAATTACCGTTCTAGTAAGTGTCAATGGTACACCAAGGTATTTAGTGGTAATTGAAGTGCTTTACCACTTCAATTTCACTTCCCTGTAAATACCACTTTTCATTTTTTGCTACTCATCCGCTGCCATTATTTTAAAGAACAAAAATTTGATAAATAAATGAATGAAAAGCTTCAATAAAAGTTAAGTGTAGAATTTTATTTTGTTTAAATATAAAATTAATACCCCTAAAATGTCATTACTGTTATAAACTAATATTTAAATTCACTAAATTTCGTGGTCCGCTTGACCAATTAATACATTACAATTAATTAAGGTTTTTAGTTGAGATGAAAAAAAGTCAATGGCACGAGCAGGATTCGAACCCAGGATCTTCGGCTAGATACGCCGCTGCTCTACCACTTGAGCTATCGTGACCTCGATTCACTCGGACATCAACTTCCTATCTCAACCCTACCTTATGAGTTTTCCCTCCTCTTTGCCATTTTTCAAGTGGTAGAGCAGCGGCGTATCTAGCCGAAGATCGTGGGGTTCAAATCCCGCTCGTGCCATTGACTTTTTTTATCTCAACTAAAAACCTTAATTAATTGTATTATAAAAAGTGCAACCTCCTAAACACATTTGTCTACTGCTTACCTGTCAGAATGTTCTAGTAGATACTACTACTAGTAGATATTATAGATACTTGTCATGTATTAATTGGCCAAGTGGACCACGAAATTAGTGAATTTAACTTTTTATAATTTGAAAACATTCATGTAGTAATTTTTAAATTATATTTTATTTAATTTTTTTCTTATAGAACTAGTAGTGTGGTAACAGTGAAACATTTTCTCTAATAGATACAAAAAAAAATGAAATGTGCCCTGCTTTTCGTTAAACTGTTTTCAACTGAAATGTGTTTTGCATTGTGTTGAAACATTTCATCTGTATTTAATCTATAAACATTTTCATTAACTTTCAGATTCTGCCCAAATATCTCCAAATGCAGAAGGCTTGCAAGGAAACTCTGATATTCCGAGTAAGTTTTCCAAATGTTTCTATTATGTAAAAGGTTGAGTTATTATTCTGTGACAATTAATTCCGAGTTCGTTTTAAGGTGAACCGGTCGTTATTAAGAGGTCAGGGGTACGGACAAGAGGAGGTAAGCGTGGAGGTAGAAAGCCTCAGACTCGGCTCAAAGCAATAGCTCCGAGCTTGCCAAAAATGGAAACTCCTTTACAACTACTTATAGTGAGCAATGATCAACAATCAAAGTTACCGACAGTTAATACAATTGAACAACTGACAAACAGACCGACTGCATTGTCCTGTCATACCATCCAAAAGGGCGATGCGGCTCCAGTTGTACCTTCTTGTGAGAAAGAAAGTTCAGAAAACGCTTGCAATAAAATTCCCTCTTCTATTGAAAATAAGCAAATAGGCCAGGAGAGTTTTGAAAAGGAGTCAACAATACCTAAATTGAACGTTCCACAAGAAGAAGAAACTAAAGTCACAGAAGAATGCACTCCAGAACAGAATAACAGTTCTACAGTGAACTTTAAAGAAAGGCTTAGTTTAAGTTCACCAAGGCGAGGGAGTCACGTACGTACTTTAGAATTTAACACACCGCCGAAAGGAATAAATACAAGAAAGGCGAACACGTCTCCTAAGAATTCAGCCAAAAATAGGAATGTTACGCAGAGATTGCTCAGAAATTTTAGAAGAGGTGGCTTATTCAATTCGCCGTCACCTACCAAATCTCACGAACACGTGCAAAACACTGAATCTCAATCACAGTGTCAGGTAGAACAGACTGTGAAACCGAAAAAACCAAATGCTTGGGATTCCGATCTCAGGGTTTACACTGAAAACGAGGACATACCCACATCAGTGGGACTACAGAGGAAAAGATCTGCAAACACAAAAGGAAAAGATAAATTAACCTGTACCGACAAAATTTCTGATAAAACTGATAAACCTACACCTTCAAATACATATTTATGTAGGATAGAAGAAGAGGGTTTAAATGAATCTTCTCGGTGCTCACTTGATGGTGAAGACACACCGTCAAAATCAAATATTTCTACTTTGGAAAATGAAAAAACAGTAGTACAAAGTGAAATATCTTGTGTGGATGGAGACTTTTTAAACACTCACAGTGCTAATTCTGACGTAAAAAGTACAAATGAAGATAACGCTTGTCATACGCCACCTGATTGTTTATCACCTGCACATCATTTATCTTTGAAGAATAACACAAGCCTATTGGCAAGTTGCACTAAGTCACCTGGTTCATCATTGGAATCGACCCTCATAAAAGAATGCGCTAGGATTGAAAATCTTAATACAAACATGTTAGAAAATGAAGGATTAAATAAAGTAAATGAGAAACAGCATACATTTACCACACCTTTTAAAATTGAGCAAGATGTCAAAATGATGTCTAAAAATGAATTGTATAAATTTCAGACACCGGCTAAAACATTGTTAACCCCAAATTCCAAACAAACAGTCGAAATGACTCCAATCTCTCAAATAAGGTGGGAAATTAATGAATTGGGCAAAACTAAATTGGTTACACCTACACTTCCTCAAACCCCTAAGGACGAAGTCCATCTTGACGAAGAAGTCTCCCCACCTTCGGATAAAATGACAGATATCTCAAAAGAATCTACAGTAAAGGTAACTAAGGGAAAACCGAAAACTGTCACTAAGAAAACCCAAAGGACGAAAATTCAGAAAAAACCAAGTCCAAACTCTACTGTAGTAGCAGTCGAACTCGGTGCCAAAGCAAAGCTTAAAAAATGTACAAAGAACAGAAACATCCAAGAAAAAGACTTTGATGTAGAAAAAACGATAAAAAAATGTCTCAAACAAGCTAAAAATATAATTTATGGGAAAGGTAAAGGCACACCTTGTAATTTAAGTTCAGAAACAAAAGAAGACGATAAATCATGCGGTATGAAAACTCGTTCAAGAAAGGCTCAAACGGTGAACAAATCGCCAACTGGAATTCATGATAAATCCATTCCTGAAAATGTTGACGAAATCGAGTCAGCCAAATTACCCCATCAATTGAAAGATCCAGAGCTTGTTCCAAAAAATGTAACTAGGCAAATAGATATTGCAGATGAAGAAAGTGGAGGCAGTTTTCCTCATTTGTATTTGAGTGAGGATGAAGTTACCCCAACTGATAGTTCACAAAGGATTTCTAACGTACAAGTTGTTTCAGAATCATCATCGGTTAGCAAAAAAATTCCGTCATGTCATCAAAATGAAAAATCTTCGCCATGTCCATCCAATGATAAAAAAGTTACTGGGGAAAATCATGAAATCCTTTTAAAAAATAAGCTTTTAGTAGATAATAAAACCAACAATAACATTATTGTTAAAAATAATATTAGGAATCACATAGAGAATTTCAAATATACATTTTCAGTAATTGACGAAGATAGTGGAGAATATGTATCAAAAGATTTAAAAATAAGTCCATTTTTAGATTTGTTTGAACTTCCCCCTACTAATGAAACTAGACCCAGCAAATATTCTGATGAGAATAAAAATAAAACGAAAGAAGAGGAAGTTACGAAGTCAAAAAGTTCTCATCAGAAAGAACACGTAGAATCCAACAAAAAACAAGAAAAACGAAGTTTCAATTTTGAGCTTTCTTCTGACATCGACAAAAGACGGCGTGTTCGTTCTTCTTGCTCTAGCAATGAAGAGTTTGATACTCAAAGGAGAAAAAGACAGTGTTTGAGCAGGTCAAGTTATAAAGAGGCATATTCGCAAAGTGCCCGGCGTAAAGATTACGATCGTCATTTCAAGGAAAGAGTGCCATATTCTCGGAGGCGAGACAAAACACCTTTTTCCTCGAGGAGGCCTAGATATTCACGTGATGTCGAAGATTCAAGAAAACATAGCAAATCGTGGTCGGATGAACGGAACGATTATAGAAGGAAAAAAAGTTACAATTCACCTTACAAAGGTAACTCATCGGACTGGCATCTAAAGGACAATTTTGAAGAAGATGCATATAATAAATCAAAAGATGGCAGGAAAACCAAACCGTCTGAGTATTATTCTAAATACCCAGAAAATAGAAGAAGTGAGAAAGAGGACCTGCTTCAGTTGAAGAGCAAAGAAATCCAAGAAATAATTAACCAAAATAAGGAATTGAATAGACGGCTGCAAGAGCTAGAAGGGAACAATAAAGCGCATAAACAAAACGAATCATGCAAGGAAGAGGGAGAACTTTCAGATACGACTTGCAGTGTGTCACCGTAAGTGCAATTTCAATTTTTAAGGTCGCTTCAGACATGCGGTATTCACCGACTGCCACCGTATATTTGCCAAGTCTCGAGATGCTCATCTTGGCATTCGCCAAATGGCTTGCCTACGTATATACACATGCAGGGTTTGTACAACCACCCAGTTTGTGCAAAAACAGCGATTATTCGCCAAGTCTGTGCAAGTCCTCAACTTACTACCAATAATGATGGACAACAGTAAATTTGTGGTTACTGTTTTGTGCAATGGCTACAAACTCAGTCACAGACTACTGTTGCCCTATCTTACATTCTCTGTTTTCACGCACTGAAAAACTCTTTCTGATTTTTGTTATTTGGAAGAGAAGTGTTCCAAATTATTGGTTCAGCTTGGTCAAGGTACTCCAAGATTTATGTATGGCCAATCCATTCTTAACCAACAGAAACAGAGCTATGTTGTTCTTTTATTAATACATCTACACTAGTTAGGAATAGTTTATTATTGAAAAATAAATAGAAGTATATATTTTCGTATATGCTTTGAGTACAGTTACTTCCCGAATAGTCATGCACATTAAAACGGACAAGAAAACCGACAATTGGCTGAACGAGGCGAGCATCAAATATTGTTGCTTGGCGAATAACTGAACACTCATCCCCACTAGCCGGGATTCGGTGAACCTTTGCTTGGTATTCGGCGAATTGTGCATGTCTGGAACCACCTTTATATATTTTAACTTAATTATTGTACTAAACTTATATTTTGGTTTTAGCAAAAGGAAAAAACCTTACAGTATATTCTCCAATAAAAAACTAAGTCTCGTCCACTCCTCTTCGGCAAGTAAAATAATTTTAATTGTAATTAACCTCAAATTTATTTTTACATTTTTTTCCAGGTTGCAGAAGATTGTCGAACAACTCTGCTTAAAGAATTAGACGTTGATAGCTTCTTATCAATAGTGCACGGTAGTGACGAAAATAAGCCTATTTAATTATTTAAGTCTTGTTAACAGTTTTATTGTCAAAATTAATATTCTCTTATTGTGAATAGTTTTTGTACCTGTACATATATATATTGTTTTGTATATGCATATATCAATGTAAAATAATATATTTTTTGTAATATATATATTAATTATTGTAATGTATATTATTATTATATTGTTCATTCAGTGAATAGGCTATAGAAATCATTAATGCTTTAAAACTGTCTGGTCTGCACAAAGCAATAATATTCTTGAAAGAGAAATCCTTTTGAAACATCTGCAAACACCTTTCAAATTTCTTTTAAGGTGGTTTAATGTTTAAATCTGTTTCATTTAGTCTAGGCTTTGACCAATTTTGACAAAGCCAATGTTTTCGCCTAATTTCCATCCATAATTATCTCACATCTTTCCTTTCCATGTCACTTCCACTTAAAGCAGTTACTCCTTCAGAGGTTAAATTTATCGTGAATCAGATGTCAAATCACAAGGCCCTTGGCTTTCACCTCATCCTCCGTGAATTCCAAAAAAAGTTATCCTACTGACATATCTCTACAATGGTACAATCTGCACCACTAATTTCCCTTTGCTCTAGAAATCTTTTCCTCAAAACCCGGCAAACTACACGTAAAGCTTCTTCCTACCTCCAATCAGCCTACTTCCCCTCTTCTCAGATGATTGATTCCTACACTTAATTACCTCAACTTCCCAGATCACAGTTCAGCTTTGGTCCTCAACATTCCACTACCCAGCAGGTGTTTCATGATGTGAACCACATTTCCTTATCCCTTGAGTGTAAGGGAAAGGATAAAGATAAAAGAGCCGGCCACAAGGACTTCTACACCTTGACTTGAGTAGATCTATTTTGCCCCCCTGTTTTTTATAACTCACTGGCCAGCTTCAGGTTGTTAGTCAACCTCCACAGCCTTGTGGCTTTTCCTCTTCGGGTTGTAAGGACCTGCAAAGACCTTCAGAAATATATAAAATGTGTTCTGGTGTCTCCCCTTCCTGGAAATACTGCACAGTGTTTTTTATCTAGTGCATGTGCTTTCTTAAGTGGCAATGCCCTGTCAGGAGTCCAACCAAAAACTTGGTTTGGTTGCGTTTGTCTTTCAGTAATTCCTTTGTAAGTTTTGCGGGTGGCCCTTTAATGAATCTTTTTGCATGCCTCATGCCTGTGGTATTGTTCCACCAGGTTTGGACTCATTAATGATCCATTTGAGATGTCTCCTCTTCTGTGGCAAGATGCTTAGGCCACACTTCAGGATCTAGAGAGTAGATGCCAGGGTCAGGAGATTAGTGTTGCAGTCTTCTGCCAGGTCTACTTGCAGGTCCAAAGTTCCAAACTTCATTTCGCATGAGACAGCCTTTAGTGCTGCCTGACTGTCAGAGAAGATGGCTATCTTCCGGGAATGTATTCCTAGCCTTTTTATACCCATGGCGCAGTGTCCAATCGCTATGATTTCAGGCAGGAACACTAGCGTATTTATGTAGGTTTACCGTCAGTTCAGTCTTTGGATATGTCCCGAAGACTCCAGCCCCATGCCCTTGTCAGTTTTCAAGCCAGTACGAGTTGTGTTCGTTTGGCTCATTTTCCCTGTTCGGTATCAGTGGCATTGATTGGCATGCCTAATATGGAAACTGCCTGTATCTCCTCCCTCAATTTCCATTATTTATTTTGTGAACAATACTGCATGGAGCTTTCTTGATCACTAGCAGTGACATGAAGTTCTATACAAACCAAAATGTGTTCTTCCAAATACCTAATACTTCACTTTTACATAACAACAATTTTTGTGAGCTTGTCAATGATTGGACTACACTAAATATTGCCCTCTGGGAGTGCCACAAGGTGTGTACTCAGACCAATCTGTGCCTCATCTACCATCTCAGATATTTTGAGAGACACCCTCTACCTTCTTTACTTCCTTTGCTTTGGGAGAGTTTCAGGCTTTTATGAATAGCCGAACATGGAACAAATTCTCAAAGCAATAGCAAGTTAGATGTAGATTAGTCGGGGTGTGACCTTTAAGAGCTGATGTATCCCCCGTTCTGTGCTTATAGCACACCGTTGTCATAGTTCATCAAGGAACTTGATTAGTATGCCCGGTTTCAGAGGTTGAATCTCTTCTACCAAAGCAGGGTTTTCGGTCTGACCCCCAATTTTTTCCCGCTATATTCTTCTGTGCACCAATAAAGCTCATGCCACTTTCTTGATGCCAGAACTGATATGTTTCTTAAATGCCGGTGTTTTGTCTAGTGTGAAGCCTAGGTATTTGGCCTCTTTATTCATTTCTATCACAGTATTATTGAGTTTTATCTGCCTCTAATTTATTTCTAAGTATTTTGCCTTGTTTAATTTGTTATAAATAAAACTATTTTATTTGTATAATGGCAAAAGTTTAATATTTTTTTACTATTATTTACCAAATTTTTTTTGCTATACAAAATAGCATGAGCTGAAATTGATATTTGTTATTATATTATTATATTTATATTGTTATAAAAGTTATAAAATGTATCTGTTGTATAAACAGTAAAATATCGATAGAATTTGATGTCGATCGATTGTTTGTTCGTTTTCTTATCACACAGCAGCTGCCGTTGATAATTCATTTTTGTTCTTATTGTTTGGGTTGTAGTTTTATTTTAGCGTTTATTTTATATTCTAATGGGACCGGAGGAATGGGCAAGTCTGTAGCATTATTATTCAGATTTAAAAATGAGACAAAACAGTTTTTAAGTCGAACATCCAATTCCACACGACTGGTCTAGGCAAATCAAAGTTAGAGTCTAGTATTTGGCAATTATTTGGGATAAAACAATACAAAAGATATGCAGAAAACGAAGAAAGAAGGTACTAAAGTACTAGTTTAACCTTGTTTTTTTCCTCCGTGTATACTCATTATTTTCTTTGTTTAATAAATGCACACAAAAAAGGTGATTTTGAGATGCTAGAAGCCATGTATGACTTCACCGGGACAATTGCTCATACGCTCAGTTTCAAGAGGGGTGACAATTTCATATTCCACTCGGCTTCCAACTTAAAGCGGAACTGGTGGAGTGTTATAGACTCGTTGGGGAAAATTGGCTACATACCGTCAAACTATGTATCAATAAATAAGGTAGTTATCACTGTCGATGTGATTTAACATTATTCAAAAGTCCTACAAGCCTTGTTTTATTATTTTGGCCCTGCTTGTGGCAATGTTTTTCTATGCTTTTTAGGTGAGTAAAGGGAAGATGTTGGAATTCATCACCTACGCCATCGAAGAATTGGACAATGAGATTTTAAAAGTGGGAGGAACGGAGAAACGGCTCGATGTCATGAGAGAACTCAATTTGAAGAAACAGGAAATTCTCGACAGCAAACAGAAAACCAACTCCATCAAAGACAAACATGCTGGCACGAGACAGTTGAAAAATTCCACTACTCTAAATGTAATGAAATTTGCACACATTTCAATGTTATAAATGGGTCTATTTGAAATGGACGGTATTTTGAAGGAAGATCTCGTCAAGAAGACAGAAGATCAGAATCCCCCTTTAGCGATGAGGGTGTCGGTTTCAGAAACAAAGTTTCCCGATGGAAAAAGCGCAGAGATTAATTTAGATGGGAAGAATACGAGTAACATTACTCCTCACAGCGCTTATCTTTTAATTCAGCAGGTAATTTTAAAATTATGACCATTCTTGTTTATTTATATTTATTTATTTTATTTCAAAGGTTAGAAATCAAACTGGGTTGAGTTTTGAAGGGTCGAGAATTGCCGTAGGCGTTGTAGCCGAGGGTTTTTTGGAACTTTTGCCGTCTAATTGTGTCCCAAGTTTGGAATCGTTCTTGGAGTTGCTTCAAAACGAAATAATCCCGACCAGTGCAATAATCGACGACACGCAGGACGCACAGAACTTGTGTCAAATACTGACACACCTGACTAATGCAAGGGGCGACGCCCAGCAACGATCTTGGCATTTGTGGGACGATGAGGCAACCATCAAGAAAAATATTACACAGTTGTCATCTATCCTTGTAAGTGCTGTTATTACCCTTATCGTCCTTGGTGATCAATTCGATGATATTTTCAGAGCAACGCTGACCCGATGATAAGCAAAAGGGTTTTTAAAAAGAACAATTTCGACGATGTTCTTATGCTTGTCGATTATTATCAAATGGAAGATAGGTCGTCGATCAGGCAGTTATTAGTCCAAGCGTTTGCCGTGATGTGCACTTTGGACAAAGTGATTATAAATTTACTTTTAAATTCAGTTTTACCGATGGAACTTGGAAGGTAAGTGACAATTTTTTGAAACATAATTTAATTTTTTTTATATACTCGAATTTTCCCATATGTGACTTTGACATTTTTATCTCAAATTTTGTATATATTAAATATAAAATTAATTAATAGAAATCAAATGTAATATCCTCTAAAATTCATGTAGCTCAATTCAGAACAATAAAAATGCTACTTATAAGCTCTAATCAAAATGTTAAAATAAAGCATTACAGTAGCACTTAACGTTACGTGTACAAAAATGTTTCATCCATGTTAGGACTAATAACGCATATTTCATTACATACTTAGTTATAACTTTACATAAATCTTTTGCATAATTTATAATCTGTCCATTTTCTATAGATCCACTGGCTCATTTCAACTATTTATCTATTCTATATCTAATATCTATTTATTTAAAAAAATTGTTTTATTTTAAGGGAAATGCAAAGCAATTTTGCTTCGAGATGTAAACTATCCAAGCCTGCGCTGTTATTAGCAATGATATTTTCAACAGGAGAAGCCATGCCAATCACACATCTAGGTAAATTGATATTATTTTAACAAAAAAAAGTGCACTTTGAAGTTTTGATTTATTTTTTAATTTGACAATATTTTGGACATAATTATTCAGAAATCGTGAGAAGCGGTCTGGTGTGATGTAGGTTTCAGAAAAACATTTTCTTTATCTGCCAACTTTTCGATCTTTACTGAGATCATCTTCAGGGCCTGGGATATACAAACATTGTTTAAATTTAACAAATACATGTAGGAGGTGGAAAAAAGTGAATTTATACAATGCAAAAACACATCCTACATGTATTTGTTAAATTTAAACAATATTTGTAAATCCCAGGCCCTTAAGATGATTTCAATAAAGATCGAAACGTTGGCACGATAAAGAAAATGTTTTTCTGAAACCTACATCACACCAGATGGCATCTCACGATTTCTGAATAATTAATTAAGGTTTTTAGTTGAGATGAAAAAAGTTAATGGGACGAGCGGGATTCGAACCCACAACCTTCAGCTAGATACGCCGCTGTTCTACCACTTGAGCTATTGTGACCTCGATCCACTCGGACATCAACTCCCCATTTCAACCCCACCTTATGAGTTTTCCCTCCTTTTGCCATTTTTCAAGTGGTAGAGCAGCGGCGTATCTAGCCGAAGATCGTGGGTTCGAATCCCGCTCGTGCCATTGACTTTTTTATCTCAACTAAAAACCTTAATTAATTGTAATATATTAATTGGTCAAGCGGACCACGAAATTAGTGAATTTATTAATAATAATAATAATAATATAAAGGACGAGTCACCTTCTTGCTGAATATGTAATAATTTAAAATCCAGTTAAACTATTAATACTGTTGATGTGCCCTAATGTTGATTAGATGCTTTATGCTCACCCTCTATGTTTTAAAATTATATCAAACCTGGTGATTACGCAGGCTAGATTTTTCGTAATTTAATTTCTATGGCTAATTGAATTTAATATTAACTAACTTACAGTAAATGGAGATATAAGCTTGATTGATGGAATGTAATTTTTTCAGGGATTGAATTATGACAGTTGTTTAAATGTTGAAAAAGATCCTGAACAATGTAATTCCCCGATACAGGACCCAGAGAACAGTGAAGACGAGTACGATATCCAGGTTAAGAAATTGACATTTTATTTATTGATTTTTTTGAAATTATTGTTGTTCTTGTTTACAGAACCGGCCGGGTTTGCAAGTGCTTTTAGAGAAAAAAGAATGGCACGAGCGCCTCGCGGAAAACATAAACAAAGCCGTTGGGTCTGGAAACGAGGCGGCCGAACCTGAAAAACTCGCCCTTGAAAAGGTACTCGAGAAAAAAACTGTTGAAACAATAGTCAACACATTTGAAGCAGACCCGATTTTTGAAGAAATTTTGAAAGAATTAGTAGGTAATAATTGTTGAAATTATTCGCTGAAAGGCTGAATATTCAATGTTTAATATGAATCTAAATTGATATTTCAGGTCCAGTTTCAAGAAGTAGTCCGAGTAATGCAGATGATACTGAACAAGAGTAAATATTTCATTTATTCCCAATGATTTTTTTATGCTTATTGAAAAACATACACATTTATGCTATTCGTTGTATTTTTGTTATCAATCAAGTGGTCATAGTATCAACAATAAATTTAAATTTGTCTGTCATTTTTTATTAAGTGCTTAAAGAATATAATATCGGAAGTCCAAAATCAAACTTAGCAAAAAATATACTGTAAAGGATTTAGTCTTTTTTGTTCCTTTGTTTTAACATGTATTTTTTTATGTATAAATATTTTAAAACCTATGCTACACATTGGCTAGAAGACGTTAAAATAAAATTTTTCATTAATTTTAGGGGTGAAGAAACTCCAATTGTAAATGAAGAAAATCTGGAGATTCCAGCAGCAAAGAATGTACAGCAGGAGACAGTTGCTGTACCAAACAGTCAGGCAAATTTTCATAATGAAAAGTCTGAAACTACTCCTCATTTAGGAGGATTTTATGTAACGGGACAAAATGTGGAAAATAATGCATCCCAACAGCCACACATTTCCGTATCAACTGTTCAAACTTCTCCCCAATCGTCTTTGACTTTAATTCCAATAGGGAAACATTCCCAGCTGGAAAAGCCGACCAACCCGCCTCTACTGAAATTGACCCCAACCACATCTTCTGGGCCACCCCAGCCCGCTCAAATTGTCATTCAAACCTCCCCGGCTGTTCAGCCAGGCCCTGCCACTTTAAGGATGCCCCCGCCCATATCTCCACAAGTTGTCTCGATAATCAGCACGTCGGGCTCTCCATTACTGAAGGATTCGACAAGTACTGTCTCACCTATTCCATGTTCTGTCATCTCAAGGTTTGAAGTTGTGGGCCCGAAGGTTTTCTTTAAAAAAGATCCTAATTCTTTACCATTTCATTCTAAAATACGTAAGTTTTGTTTTTATTTTGTTATAACAGGTTTTTCATTGTTTTTACAATATTGTGATTTCAGATATTCAGGGAGAAACTCCTCCGAGGCCCAGGTTAGATATTCTTCCCAAGATAATGGAGCCTTTGAAAGTGCAAGTTGAAGGTAAGCTACATTACAACTATTTTTTATTTTTATTTATTTATTAGTCTTTATTTAATTTATAATGTACAATATACATAAATACATTTTTAGAATTAAAGACAGGCTCTTTGGTTATCTTAACCATCAAGAGGAGTCTACCAATTAATTAAAGTATAAACATATTTTGTTTAATTGATTAAAAATGCACTTATTTAACATTAATTTACTAATAACTTAAAACATATTATGATAATGTAACTGCATTGGATGCGTTCACTAATATATTATACAATAAAAACTAACCCTAAACTAGAAAAGAAACAACTTATAACTAAAAATTATAAATGAAATTAGCTCTATATTCGTAAGCCTTTCATTATTTCCAGGTTCATGTTTTCCAGGAAACAATTTTTGCTATATGACTTTAGAGAATCTACAGTTAAGTTGAAGATACCTAACCATCCCTAAACTTTTCCAAAGGGTACATTCTCATAGCTTTTTTATTTTATTTATTTATCATTATTATTTTAATTTATTATTCACTAGCCCAACTACAACATAGTTTTTTAATAGTGCATTTCATACAAACAAATTTTACATTTTTAACTGGCTCAAATGACAGATTTAATCTGACATGAATAATATCACATTTGACTTTACATAATTATCTATATATACTTTAATATCACAGTACTGGTAAGATTATTATCACAGTGATTTTTAATAAATAAATGGATAAATAAATAATTAAATAAATGATGAATCACAAAAGCTATTTACAGTAAATTAGTTTTTATCATTGCACAAACAACTTTACAAGATCACTGTGATCACTTTAGCCAATATCCAGCTTAGTTCGTGGTTTGAATTGGAAAGAAAAATAAAAGTGAAATTTAAAGAGAAAACATTGAAACGCGTAAGATTCAGTTATCATGTTGGTCATTCTGTCTTATTCTTAGGTTTTCATTTGATGACTAAATTGATCATCACAATTTCTAAACGTATATTTTTTCAAACATGCAATTTTTGACCTCCATAAATTCCTAAAACAGCGGTGATGACTGTTTAAGTATATTTTCACAGAAAGAGAATTTTTCCTTTTTTAATTTAATTTTTTATTGCTAAAATTATAAAGATGAATATGTGTAAATGAGAAAAAAGTTTGATAATACATAAAAATACTATGTTAAAAGTGTGTAAATCNCTTCATTTTTAAATCATTAATTCACTATTTTCGTGGTCCGCTTGACCAATTAATACAATTATCGTTTTTAGTTGAGATGAAAAAAAGTTAATGGCACGAGAGGGATTCGATCCCACGACCTTCGGCTAGATACGCCGCTGCTCTACCACCTGAACTATCGTGACCTCGATCCACTCGGACATCAACTCCCCATCTCAACTAATAACATTAATTAATTGTCTTGTATTAATTGGCCAAGCGGACCACGAAAATAGTGAATTTCTGAATAATCATCGACTAATGGTCACTAATCACCACACATTATGGACATATTTTTTGTTTAGCTATATAAAAAATGATTTAATAATATTATAATTAGAGGAAAAGTATTTGTTTTTTGTTTTTCGCCAATTGTGAGGCAAAACTGATTTATTACCAATTGGAATTAAAATCTAACAATGAACTAGGGTGAGTAATAAAAAAATGACCGATTTTATTTTCTTAGAAATTGTATTCCCCTATAGGCTTTATTTGTTTTTCAAATGCAATTATTGATACCACTTCCATATAGAAGGAAAGTAATCAAACTGAGTTTACCGTAACATTGCCGGAATAGGGTCGTTCAGAGGTGGTAGAGTTGTAGTGGAGTGGAATTTCTTTGGAGTTAAAAACAGACTTTAATATTTTTAATAGGCTGTCAGCTAATGCAGAAATCTACGTGACAGACATTCTTGAGGAATATGAGATTCCATTAGCTCCTGTTATTGGTGAGCAATTCTTGTGTGTGCAAGTTTGTGCTCTTGAAGCATTTCACATTCATTAGCTTAATGCAGTACCTTTCTGATGTCAGTATTCACACTCTAAGATTGCCAGCCCTGATTTGAACCCTCAAAACAAAAAACTACCCTTCCAACAACCTTAGCTCAGCTGAATGTTTTGTTAGTTGAGATTTGAGATTAAATTCTTCAAGATGTGGTTAGAGGTTTAATTATGAGCATGATGAGAAGATTTTATTTTCTGTGTGTAATAAGAACAAGAAGAGGTAATACACCTTATTAAAGAATTTAAAGTTTGCTTTATAATGTTTTAACTTCAAAAACAAAAGTAATATGTTTAAAAAAACTTTGTTTATTTTAACATTAAAAATCTTTTAATAGGGTAAAAATATTTGAATTTTAAATAAATGTTATTAATGCTGAAAAGACATATACATACAAACAATTTCAAAGTGTGCTTTTTTTTTTTTTTTTGGAACATCAGCGTTGTTAATTTGTTTTTTTCTTGTGTTAATTTTGAACTTCTGCAGATCAACTAGGTGTAGACTTTGTTAAAATGATATTGGAAGTCATCGAGCTAGAACGAGGGTCTGAAATAGCCGATAAAATGCTAACACTCATCCTTTCATATAATCTTCAGTTTAAGCACAAATCGTCAGCGAACGTCATCATTCAGGCTCTTCAGGAAGTTACATGTGCCAAAACGTTTTCAGAGAAGGTACTTCTTCTCATCAATAGAGAAGGTATTTGCTTTTATTTTACTTTTATAAATGCAAATTAGCTCAAAGCTGGATAAAATAAATTGCAGAGGACCCTCTTGCAAAGCTGAAAGCCCATGAGTGCCCTTGCCATTCAGTCCTCAAGCTTCTCAAGGATCTGTTCTCCAATACGGCCACTGCTGACTTATTTTATACAAATGATGTTAAAGTACTGATAGATATTGTTGTAAGGCAAATCACCGATCTTCCACCTAACAATAAGGTAAAATTGCGCACAGCAGTACATCGCCATTCGGTAATCTTGATTTATTTTTCTAGAAAAGGACTGAATACTTAGAATTGTGTAAGTTGATACTTTACTGCTGTGATTCACTAGCTTTCGAACATCGTTTGTCCGAACTCAAGAATGTTTTTTATCACATATTGAAAGACGAAGTTCCACCGGTTGAAAAAGACAAATCAATAGTTCTGGAAATAACCGAAGCTCTTCCGAAAATTTTTGGTAAGTTGGATTAGGCGTGATGTAACGGCATGATTCGGTACTTATTTATATTTTTTATTTCTTTTTATGTGTTTTATAAATTTAAAACTTATGTGTTCAAAATTGTAAGAATTGTATTGTCGATATGTCGATATTTCCAAAACATTGACATTTAGCTTTTAAAATATATCCATGGTCGCACTGATAGAGTAAAGAAACTAATCGTCTTGTTATCGTTGATATATCATAGCTTACTAAATTAGTAGTATAAAACAAAACTAATAAGTAAACTGTTAACTTATGTGTGCAATATTAACACAGTAACATTTTATCTTAATGTTTAAAATTATGAAGCTTGATTTTTTCAAAAATTCCCAACATTTATCAATTGTATTTTCAAGTAAAAAAAAATGTAGTTCATCTTATGTTCATAATTGATTATTAAGCTTTGTACATAATTTCTATAAATAAATGTAAAAGATCATTAGTTTTTGCCTTTACACTGTGATATTAATTAGGTTTTTATTTATTTATTATGTTTGTGTTTCTTGTCAAATGCTGATTTAAAAAAAAAATTGTTGATATTAGAAATTTTTTAATGTTTGTTATTGTTTAAAACAATCTATGTATGTTAAATAATTTTCAAAACAATCATTAATTTTAAGAAAGTTTGTAACACTGGGCAAGGCAAGATTTTACTGTTTTCCCCTCTTTTTTTTTTTCATGAAACAATTTTTTTATTTGTGTCATGTTATATTATCAAGGAGCAGATTTTTATGTTCAGTACTCTCATATGCGATTTCACTCATCCGCGGTTGCCCCCTTAGTCGAGTTCTGGAAGAGAGTGGGAATCCTGCGTGGAATAAACTTTATGTTTGTTACTGTACATTATTGAAAAAACCCGAAATATGTATACTTAAGTTCCTACATAACATTCACGATTAGCATATGCTAGAAAGTGTCTGATTGGTATGCAGTTAGAAGAAAATACTTCAAAGCCTGAAATTCGAGGTGTATTATCCATGGTTCTCGTTATCTGCAGTGATACTTGATATCCCCTGCAGATAAAGAGTATAAAGTATTTAAAAAGTCAAAATATGACATTAGTTTTGACAAAATATGTATTCAGTTTTAGTAAAATATATAATTATTCAGAAATCGTGAGATGCGGTCTGGTGTGACATAGGTTTTAGAAAAACATTTTCTTTATCGTGCCAACGTTTCGATCTTTATTGAGATCATCTTCAGGGCCTGGGATTTNGATCGAAACGTTGGCACGATAAAGAAAATGTTTTTCTGAAACCTACATCACACCAGACCGCATCTCACGATTTCTGAATAATTATCGATTAACGGTCTCTCATCACCACACAAAATATATAATTTAAAATATTTAAAAAACAAAAACTAATAAAGCTAGTCTGATTAAAATTTTAAGTACTAACAACAAATAATTAACAACAATTTTAAAATAACAAAACAAAATTAAAACTAATTTTATTCTTTAAAATTATTGGGAATGACTTGGTATTTTAAATTTTCAAAGATGAAACATCGACTATCAGGTCTTAAAATGGATTTGCATCTTGTAAAAGAGCTATCTACCAATGTTGACCAAATTGAGTAATTTCTTTTTTCTTTTTTTAAAGCCTTGTAACATAGCATATTAGAAGGGTTACGGGCGAGACAGTGGGAATCGAACCCACAATCAAATGGGTCACCATGAGCCGAGAGTCTATCATGCTAACCGTTCAACTACCACGACCCATAAATCAATTTAAACATCCTGTAATTTAGTAAAATATGTACAATCTATAGAAAATTAATTTACCCTAAAAATGTGACAATATGTAACAACATGTTTTAAATTGCTTCAAAACGACATAAAACATCAATAGCAAGTTGTAATATGCCAATATTTAACTTAAAAAAAAGTATGTGAACACATAAAAATCTGCTCCCTATTTATTATCAATTTATGATCTTATGAATGTAAGTTTGAATCTCTCAAACAATCCTCTTAATAATGAAAACCATTGTTTAAGGTATGGATAGTTTATATCTACAATACATGAATGTTTTTAAGTTTTTTTCATTAGACTTAATTTACCCACTATTTTAGAAATTTGATAGATTGTGAACTGAGATACCATTGTACCTTGAAGATGGTGCTCCTTCCATGAAAAAAAGTAAAATAAAAATGTAAATTTTTATATCAGCCTTGTACTTGGCTGTTTCTATGAAGTGTATTCCTGTTTGGAATGTGCTATCTTATTAAAGCCTTCCATCCTTTTTGAATTTATTTATTTTATTTTTTTTTTTTGACGTGCCACCCTAGAGTGAAGTTGTCGCGAGACTGCAACCAATTTGTGTCATTCTGTCATAACTTCAGAATTCACATCACACCAGAAGCTTCTCTAGGAAAGGCATCTAGTAAGAGAGTCGTTTTCTTGATTTTGAAGAGTAGCTGGAGAGCTGTTCTGAAAATTTTAGACAGGAGAGCTTCTGGGATGTCCATACTGCACATTTTTCAGGAAAAACACAAGGAAGCTGTATTAAACTTGAGAAAATATTGATTTTAAAACAAATAATATTTGGCTATATATCTACTATCTTATATATAGTAGAAACTGTTGCATAAATAGATTTTTATTTTAAAGAAACGGGTGGATTTAATTGATTTTTTGACACAAAAACACAATTGTATTAGTTTCTAGTCAAGTGAAAAAATATTGGTGAAAGAGATGAAAGTATATGTTTAGTGTTATGTTAGTAACTATTGACAACCAAAAATTTTTATAATTATCCTGTTCTTTGAAATAAAATGCTTAAAAAAAGTGCTTGCCTCACCTAGTGTCATACCAGTCTTATTAAGTTGTATTTGTGCTCCTCTAATTAAATGTAGTGTTAATTAAAAATGTGATAGAAAAGAAAAGTGATCTTTGTGAGGTATGTCGTACAATTTGACTTGTGAACGAATTACGATTGTATGTGACATTCCCCATAAATTAAGATTGGATTTGTAAACTTAAATTGTAAGGATTTTGTTGAAATATGTGGGCAGAAAGTATGACTAGGATTTACAGCTTCATTCGTTCTATTAATATGTTAACTTGGTAGTTTTGTATTTGTTAAAATTAATGCTATTTAAATGCTGTAAACCAAATTTCAAGTACTTTTTGAAACATCTTAAATTGCACTGGTTTTTTTTCCTCTTGTCTGTGGTTTTTCATTTCTTTTTTTCATTTTTAAATGTATAACACCTATAGGTAATGTACCTTTTTCAAAATGTAATCATTGTCTTAAGACAAGACACATTTTTGAACTTATAATCCAACTTTAAAGCTTGTAAAACTCTTAAAACCATCTTATATCTAACAACTCACTATTTATTTTTTATAAAACTATGTAGTTTTTACATGTTATTTTCAGGGTAGAAGTATGTATTTTTTAGGCAAAAAATGAATATTTAATACAGTCTTTGTAGTTATGCTTCAATAACTACAATAAGTCAATCATAAGAGATCTTATAATTTATTGTAAAATTTACTTTAAATATAATGCAAAATTTAATGACTAATATGGTTTTTTTTTATTTTACAAAAAAACCCTTACATTTTTTATTTAATTTTTGACTCAAGGATTTTGGAGCGAAAAAGGAAGATTGTTTCATAGAAGTAATGGAAAACAAATGTAAACACAGTTTATTGAATATAAAGAAAAAATCTCAGTTTGAGTCTGATATACATTGATTATCACCTAGCAGGGGAAAAAAATGAAGAGAAAAACATACATAAACATATACATATTTAATAAATGCATTTCAGGTAAAAGAATAAGAAAATCATAAATGCGGAGATGTTGTTGATGTCATATTATTCACCAGTCATCATCTCCATGAATTCTGAAAAGTGGAAAAAGTCAATTTGTAAGTTTTATTTTGTTTTTGTCTAATTCAGGTGCTCACCATCGAAATCAACAGTGCCAGATCCATCGGAGTCGATCTCCTCGATGATCATGTCCAATTCTTCGTTGGTCAGCTGTTCATCAAGCTCGTGAAGAATCTCTTTGAGGCATGAAGTCGGGATATATCCATTGCCTGTAAGTAACGATATAAAATCATTTACTTTTTGTTATTTATGTTTATTTTGTGTGTTAATAATAGATGATTTGATATAGCAAATACATATTTTAGCACTATGATTTTTCAAGCGATTTTTTGCTAGGGAAGAGTTTGAGAATATTTTTATTCCATTATGATTAGTTTTTTAATAGTTTTATTTTATTTCATTTAAGCACATTCGTAATAAGAAAAGATTTTTTTTTTTTTAAATTTTAACTCAACTCATAGTTAAATTTTCGATAAATATTTAAATAATTTATTTTAGAAAATTAGATAAAGGTGTGCTAGCATTTTATGATGTTAAATAAAGAACTGATGTGATATTCAAGAAGTACAGCCTATTATTATTATTAATTTTTAAGGGTGTTTTAACGGCTAGTTCAGCCTATTGTTATTATTATTATTGTTATTAAAAATAAGGTCTTGATTGAGATAAAAAAGAATAATTAATTGAAATAATTAATATGGCAGTATAAAATATGAATAAATATAACGAATGTAGTTACAAAATATATGTACATGTTGTAAAACATGTTCTCTTTTTAAGCGAAAAAAAAGTAAAATAACATATCAAAAGGGGTTTGTTTATGTTATTTATTTACATTGGTGGAAAAACATTATAATATTCAAAATTAAGTAAGAGGACATCGTAAGTTGCCAATGAGAAAATAGAAGCATTAAATATATTTAAAAATGTATTAAAATGTTAATTATGTGTTACACTTTAAAAAAAAAGTACCTTCTTTGTCATAAAGTCTGAATGCTTCCCTAAGTTCTTTTTGCATGGCTTCATCATCTTCTTCTACAATGAATTTAGCCGCTAGTGTAATGAATTCTTCAAATTCCAATCTTCCAGATTCTATGGAAAAAATTTGAAAGATAAAAAAAACCCCTAAAGTTGACGGGCGAAACAAACTTTTACATACTGTCAGCGTCCACTTCTTCAATAAGTTCATCAAGGATTTTTTTGTTAAAGGGTTGACCCATGAGTCGAAGGATATCGGACACCATGTCAGTCGGGATCGAACCTGACCGCTCCCTGTCGAAAGCGTCGAAGGCCTTTCTTAAGACACTGATTTGTTCCGGTGGCAGATCGTCCTGTCGATTCAACGTTAATTTAATTCAATAAATTTATTGGGAAAACTTAGTAAGATTTCAGCTCACCATTGTGACTAGATGTGACGGTCAACTAGCGGGCAACACACCCACCCTGGTTATGTATATCCAGGAGTCTCTCCCCTCCCCGCTGTATAGCTGATTCTACAGTCTTCATCCTCTCTCTATTTATAGATATTTAAGTTCTCACTCAGAATAGATCACGAACTTGGAGCTGGAAACCACTGTATTCCAACTTATTTCTAGATTGAACTTAACTACATTTTTCCTTTTAAGCTCAAAAGCAACCTGATAACGATATCAAACTAATTTGAAAATTTATATTTTGAGAGTTGTTTACAAAGTATTGTTTACATTTAGGAAGCCAAGTGATTTTATATTTAATGTGTTTTAAGAATCGAATTTCAGTTCTTCTCAAGATGTTCATTGGTAACAATAACAAATAAACAAGTGGTCACAATATTATAAATACCCATGCAAAAAGTTAAACAATTTAAAATTTAAGATATCAAATTAATTAATATGAAATTTCAAGAAACCAATCTAGAGAGAATAGCAATTATGTAATATATTTACATAAAAATTCGATATCTTTTTAAGTAATGAGTTTTATAATTTCATTTATATAAATATTATTGTTGTTATATAAATACATAAAACTTATTTCTTTATTTATTTTTAGTTTTTACATGCTATTCAGAATAACTATAAGCGATGGCACTCCTGGGAATATACTTGGTTTTAACTTTTCTATCGATAACAATTTATTTTCCAAACTTTGAAAATGCCAAATTATTTTTTGAATACTTATCTTCCAGCAAATATATACAATAAATTTAAAAAAAATTCTTTATTAATTAGGAGATACTTATTTTAATGTAAACCAAATTAAACGAGTTCATAAATTCATGAGTTTTAATAAAAAAATATTTAATGATGATGGTTGGAAAGAAAATTCACCAAAACACCAGAAAAACATTTATCAATAGTTTAAAATTTAACTAACAATTTATTCTATCACTAAATGATTTTCTGGTGTTTTGATGAAATTTCTTTCAAACTATCATAATTAAATCATTTTTTATAAAAACTCTTTTAGATAAGATTCAATAAGTTTAAGAGGAGTAAGTGTGATTCCAATTTCTGAAAGATCAACTGAGCCAAATGCTAGTTTAATATCCAAAAATACAACAATAAAACAATTTTAATTACCTGAAATGTTAAGAATCAATTACAAAACATCAAAAAGAGCCATCTCTGATGATTTTCCAGGCAAAAAACCATATTGCTTGACTTAAAAAATTTATTTTATTTGTATGTATAAAATAAAAATGTATATATGTATTACTATATGTATTTTTATAATTATATAATTACTACATACTTATTAAAATATAAACCAAATTAAACGAGATCAGAAATTCATGCATGTTAATAAAAATTCTATTAAAAATTATGTATAATGGAACATATATTTTATTTGATTTTTCGTTTTATTTGTAAACGAAATTCAAGAATTCTGGGGTATTGTGAATGAACTTGCAAATTTAATTTAGTAGTGTGATTGGAGAGGTTTATCCCCAATTACTCCGAGGAATATCGAATACTCTGGAGTAGTGTGAACAAAGTCTGGTGTGTGAATTTAATTTATTAGCGAGAATGGAAAGGCATATACCCAATTACCCCGAGGAATATCGAGTACTCTTGGTAAGTGTGAGTATTTGTGTTGGTTATGGGTGTTATTTTATCCACAATTGACGAGGCCCAGAGATACAGGAAGGCTAGCAATATGACAACGAAAAGAGTGTTGGTTACCACTGTACTATAAAAAAAATGTAATCATATGTATATATTTATAGATTTACTGTTAATCATGTTTTCCACAATAAAGAATAAATAAATAAAAATTATTTAATTATGATGGTTGGAAAGAAAATTCATCAAAACAACGGAAAATCCTTTGATGATAGATTAAAATGTAAATAACAATTTATTCTACCACTAAATAATTTTCCTTTGTGAACTTTCCAACTATCATAATTAAATCTTTTTTTTAACACCCATGAATTTCTGATCTTGTTTAATTTGGTTTACATTTAAATAAATATGTTGTAATTAATTTAAAAAAAAACATATTTTGAAGTAAACAACAAAATACGAGTGTCTGGGTTTTTGTCTTTGAGTATAGTTTGAAACTTTTGGATCTGACAGAAATTCAGGATGAAGTGTGAGTACAATTTTTATATTGGAACAAATTTTAGGGCCCTTGGCAAAATAAATACACAAGTGTTGTACATGCAATTCTTACAAAACGGCAAAATACAAATAGCTTTTGTTCCCATTTTTTAAAAATTTATTATTATATTATATTATATTATTTATTTATTTATTATTATATTAACATTTGTAAATATCCAAGTAAATCTTTATTATGTTGTTTTTTGTGCTAATTTTTTCACCAACTTTAATAGGTTACTACATAGTGCAGAAAAAAAAGATACAATTGGTAAAAATTTCCTAGCAGAAAAGAAAAGTATACACATTTATATCAAAAAAGTTGGTGCTGTTGTGTTTACACCGTTGAGGTAGATACTGTTTAAGGGCTGCCAGTAATAGAATGATAAAGACAAGAGGGTTGAGGGAAAACTAGTAAACAGAGAACATAACATTATTAAAAGTAGAAAGAAAAAATCCATATAGTTACTACTTGTAAGAATAGATTAAACAAACATGAGAAAAACTAAGAATATTTCTTTATAAATAGTAGGTACTAATATTTGATTTTAGCTCCATGCTCAAATAGCCAATGCTTGACTTTTTTTAGAAAATGTGTTGGGATTTACTTCACATTTGATATCATTAGCGACCAAATGGAACCATTTATGGCCTACGTACAGAAAACAATTCAATGTTAATTTTCGTTGAGGCCACATACCATTTGTAGGACATCTCATATTTAATTTTTTTTTAAAATATAATTTCCATGTCTATTACAAAAACTCTCTCACGGTTTGGAAAAGGTAAAGGTATGGCTAGGTAAAATGTGATTTTTGAGGTAGAGTGGCAGAGATTATTTAATTTCATAAGGTGTAGGTATATTGTTTTATTTATAAATTCATGTCAAAACAAACAACCTACACCTTATAAAATTGGACTGAAATCAAGACATTAATTGAAAGAATTTTTTTAAAAATTCATAAATATGACAGTCAATGTTTTTAAGGTTTTATGCAGAAAATTGTGTTTCAACGACACTGCATGTGATGTCAGTGCACTTCTAAAAGAGCAGGAATTCGATAAATAAGACAAATGGGGATGGGAATGGGCTGGATGACGTTTAGCAATTTGAAAGGGGAAATTCGCCTGGTTGGAAACAAGCACTCCGTGGATCTAAATTAGCATCGCTCGAAAGCCAGAGGGCCGTGACTCCCGAATTGAAACACATCCAATTATCTTAAAACCAGAGCAACGATGAAGAAGATACGAAAATAACTGAATTATCGTGTTTGTTGAGTTTTTACGTTGGACGGGATTTTTTTTTGTCGGAAAACATCAGCTTAGAATAGACACGTGTAGTCGACTTTACTGAAAATTATCGCTATGATCTTTAAGGAAGTCGTTTTATAAATTATTTCCTTTGAAAGATATCTTTGTCCCGTCTTTTCACAATCGTACAACAACCTGGGCGGATGAGGAAACGCGGATTTACTGCCCAGTTCTTGGAGATAGTTTGATCTTCCCCGATGGGCATTCCATATGGTCTGACCGTTTTCGCTGTATCATCTTACCACATTTTAGCTCCCGTTTAGATGGTAAAAGCTATCAAAGATTATCAGTAAGCAAAAAATTTATAAAAACCAAATATTCTTCAAGTAAACTTGGTCATAAAATTTGTTTCGTGAACTAACATGAAATTTCGTTTTAGCACCTCTAGAGATCCCGCATGCCTAGCTTTAACTAATAAATTAATAGGGTGAGTAATAAAAAATGACCGTTTTTCTTGCTAATTTAAAAAGAATTTTATTTTTGTTTTATTACCATCTCGAGGCAGGTGTTGGATACCTTCACAATACCACTCTTTGCGTTTTGAAAGGAAGAATTCTGCAACTCCACTTTGAACCTCATCTAGAGAATTAAAAGTTTTCCCTTGAAGATAATGAACCGTGGAAAGGAACAGATGGTAGTCGGAAGGTGCTAGGTCTGGACTATAAGCAGGGTGAGGGAGCTCAATTCCATCCAGTTCCTTAATGTTTTGTTTCGTGACGAGCAGTGTATGGTTGGGTGTTATCTTGTTGAAACAAAACCAGATTTTTATTAACTAATCCTGGGTTTCCCTGGGTCAAAACATCATACATTTTTGTAACTGCTCATAATAAAGTTTTGAATCATAAGTTCGACCTAATAGATTGAACTTTTATATTGTGCTTTCGTAATTCAAAAATGCAGAGAGCATTGTCTTTTTGTCGAATTGCTCTCGTATAGCGACTGGTAGAGCAGGCTTGTTGGATTGTTTGTGTCTGTGTTGTGAACAACCATCTTGGGATTTCTGCAAAAAATCCACTTTTAAATGCAAGTAACTATTCTTTTGATGAGCTGAAGGTTATTTGGGCTTTTTAAAAGATGTCGACAAATTTTTACCCGGCGTCGTATTTGCCCAATGGTCAACTCATGAGGTACCACCCGAGCGATTCACTTTCCCCAAGTTAAGTTTCCCCCTCTGGGCTGCACCTTTATTTTGTGCCCGGATACCCCCCTTGCAACCAAGGGTTGCGAGGGAGGAGTCACAGGATAGAATGAAGGAACTCGGATTGAGAAAAAGGGCCGTGGATGAGAACACGAGGTGAGCGTTTCGGGGTCTCGAGTCTCAAACCACACTATACCACCCGTCGTGGTCGTAGTTCCGCACATAGTGGGCCACGACTTCCAGGTCCAAGTTAAGCAGTCGACGATTTATGGTAGATTTGAGAAATTCAAAACTCTCTTGGCAATTCCCGAACACTTTTCGTTGGGTCTGCCTCAACAGAGTCCCGCAGAGCTTGATCGAATGATGATTTTCGTCCAGAATCCTTTTTCCTCTCGAGGCAGATGCCAACAACTTCAAATTTCTGGAACCGTCTACACACCGTCCATTCAGAAAGAACATCCTCTTCTTCAAAT